CCTTGGAGGTCCTGGGCCACAGAGAGGTTAGGCTGGCCTCAACCAGAGCCAGGGCTTTTGTGGCTGTGGCTCCGATCTGGTGGAACGCTCTGTCACAACAGACTAGGGCCCTGCGTGACTTGACATCTTTCCGCAGGGCCTGCAAGACAGAGCTGTTCCACCAGGCCTTTGGCCAAGGCACAGCCTGACCTTTGGTAATTCTTCACAGAACTCTAGCCCAATGGATGCCATTAATTTGATTTAAACTGATTTTATAATGAATTGATTTTAGAATGCTGTATTATTTTACTGTTGTTAGCCGCTCTGAGCCCGGCTTTGGCTGGGGAGGGTGAGATATAAATAAAAATTATTATTATTATTATTATTATTATTATTATTATTATTATTATTATTATCATCATCATAGCAGATCCCACTGCATCTCAAGGAAATCTGTCCAACAGCTTCTATCATTAGGAAAGTTAGGTTCAGTGGCTTGTTAGGAGCTGTACTTGCACACGCAACAGGGATGTGGAGAACAATTTTGTAGCTTAATGGGGGGAAATACTGCAGATGTCAATTCCTGAATATATTTGGCATACTGTATTTACTTTACAAATGGGTCTGTGCTATCTCCCTGGATAAGCATTTTAAGCAATAATTTTTTTAAAAAAAATGGTACCCAACCCCTGATCTATTCAATCCAATTTTTAAGAACAGATTGATATATGTTGGAGATGTTCACATCCCATTGCTCGTTTTCTCCATGTTTGGTGGAATCATCATGGGTAAAGTTTAATAGTTGGATATGCAATAGATAATAATTGCTATAGGCTATTTTGCTATGCCTGTTGTCTTTGCCAACAAAGGTCCGTATAGTTAAAGCTATGGTTTTCCCAGTAGTCATATATGGAAGTGAGAGCTGGACCATAAAGAAGGCTGATCGCCGAAGTATTGATGCTTTTGAATTATGGTGCTGGAGGAGACTCTTGAGAGTCCCATGGACTGCAAGAAGATCAAACCTATCCATTTTGAAGGAAATCAGCCCTGAGTGCTCACTGGAAGGACATATCCTGAAGTTGAGGCTCCAATACTTTGGCCTCCTCATGAGAAGAGAAGACTCCCTGGAAAAGAACCTGATGTTGTGAAATATGGAGGGCACAAGGAGAAGGGGCCGACAGAGGATGAGATGGTTGATCAGTGTTCTCGAAGCTACAAACATGAATTTGACCAAACTGTGGAAAGCAGTGGAAGACAGGAGTGCCTGGCGTACTCTGGTCCATGGGGTCACGAAGAGTCAGACACAACTAAACGACTAAACAACAACAGCAACAACAACATTTTGCTATAATTTAGGTTGCTATTTAGATGTGTGTTTGCATCCATCTTTGATATATTTGGTTATATCCTATGACAGTAGAACTAGCACGGGATTGATTCATGAATTGTTTCACTGATTGTCATGTAAACACCTTTTGTGAACATCCACAGTGAAAAGCAGTCTCTAAATAGTGGAAGTGCATTTATTTATTTAGCAAAATTGATATACCACTTGTCTGTCCATTTGTTCTCTTTATGTTCAGATGCCTTTTGAGATTTCATTGCTAAACTTGTCATGAAGGTTCATGAGGTGGGGTGGCAGACTCCATTACCATTTGGACACTAGACGCCATTTTGAATCAAGATGATGGACCGAAATGTCATTTTGGCATGTCTGTGCCCATTTTTTGACATAGCTTTGGCCACCTCTTGAGATATCATCACCAAACTCAGCATGAGGGTTCCTTGGAGGGGATTAGGGGCTCTACATTGATGCTTGAGTGCCAGGCACCATTTTGAATCAAGATGGTGGACACCAAAACATGACTTTGGATTGAGTCTACCCAATTCTTAGTGTGAGTGGTTCACAAATTGCAGTATCCATTTTAAAAACCACAATAATAAAAAATACCCAGGCAGCCCCGGGAACTCCCGGCTAGTTAGCAATAAAACAAAACAAGATATTTGAAAACATTCTAAAACGAATTGCAATCAATACCAAGCTAGAGACAGATGAAGACACATGTAACTTCTATATGTCTGGATAGGTTTGCCTAAACAGAAATGTTTTAAACAGGAGCTGGAAACAGTACAGTGAAGGCACCCGCCTGATGTCAATAGCCAGGGAGTTCCGACGATCAGTTCCTTACAACTGCAGAACAAACATTATGCAGCACCTGTAAGAGTGCCAATTCCGCAGCTTGAAGCGGTCGAGTGAACATGCACGGTTTAAGATGAGCCCAGAAGTAGACTAAACTAAGCAAACAAACAAGTAAAGAATGTTGGCTGCTTCTGAAAGAAAAACCTATGCACCCAAGGGTGAACCACGTGACGAGCGGCACATGGCGACAGGTCCCCAGCCACTCCACTGGCTCCCACCGAGGTGAATTTCCTCTGCTATGGCGAGCCCAGCCTTCTGCAGGGGAGTGCAATGTGCCCCAAAGGCCAGGGTGCCCCAGGAGGAAGGGTGGAGCCCTTTTCTTTTGTTCTTTGCAGCTGCATCAAAGCAGCCACCTGTACGGCTTGACTGCATTCCATCCCAGTGGCTTGAGACCTGGGTATAAAAGGAGATGTCACAGGAGACTGTGACACTTACACTGGTCCACCTGCCAGCCTCCGGAACACATGACGGCGTTTTGACGGTAAGGTGGGATTTGGAGGGGCAAGGGAAGAGAAGGTGGATGGGGATAACTTGTACGCACTAGCTGCGATTCCTGCATTGCAGGTGGTTGGACTAGAAGACCCTTGGGTCCTTTCTAACTTTGCAGTTCTATGCTTCTGTGCCTTAATTTTTGGGGCAGTAGGAACAGCTGGATCCTGTCCTAAAACAGTAGAAATTAGAAATTCATTGGGAGGACCATTTGCCCACTCAATGTTGAGCTATAGGCCACTTTGCTGCTACCAACACTTGAAATATTAATTCTGGTTTTTGATATTTAAAATATCCCCGAAATTATTAATCTAGATCAGCAGTCCTTAACCTGGTGCCCTCTATATGTTTTGGACTACAACTCCCAGCACAGTGCCAGCCAGTGTAGCCATACAATTCTGGGGCTGATGTAGTACAAACTTGTGACCTTCAGGTATAGGGCAGTATATAAATTCTAATAATAATAATAATAATAATAATAATAATAATAATAATAACTGCCATGCCAGCTGTTTCTATTTTTTAATTTTTTATTTACAATCAAGCCCATTCTATATTATAAATGGTTAGGTTAAAATTTCTTAAGCCTCATTCCCTTTTCCTCTTATATGACGGGTTGATGATCTGTGGTTTGGACATGTCAAGTGATGTGTTGAGCAGCTGAGCCAATCGCCAGCCCTCTATACCTCCATGAACTTTCCTGGCAGTGAAATTTTAGCTGCAGATTTTATTCAGTTTTTTAAAAAATGGTGCTTTGTGGCCTAATTTTTTAATTCTAAAAAAACTACACACTATTAAATGGATAAAAACGCTTTTTATAAATAAACAAATAACCAGCTGTTTTCAATAAGTATCCCTTCTATCCCTGTGTTTATATTTCTCTCTGTCTCTCCCCCCCCCAATTTTAAATATTGAAATTGTGAAACTGGTGCTAAAATTGGTGGCAGGGGAGTGTTTTAGCACTCCCTTAAAAAAAATGATTAAAAATGGATCGAATTGGTTTGAAAATGGTGTGTTCAGGTGAGCTGTCCCTTCCCCATCTGCACTGAGAGCCGGTGAGGTGGTTAGAGTGTCATATTAGGACTTGGGAGACCAGGGTTCAAATCCTCCTTCAGCCATGAAGCCTGCTGCCTCTCACCCTAACCTACCTCACAGGGTTACAGAGAGGATAAAATAGGGGGTGTGTGAGAGAACCATGTATACCACCTTCAGTTCGTTGGAGGAAAAGGTGGAATATAAATGCATTCAATCAATCAATACTAAATTGCTATGTCATGCAATTTTCTCTGGAGGTTTCTAAGCAGAGGTTGGATGGCCACCTGTCATGAATGATCTAGTTCAGTGTTTCCCAACCTTGTGCCTCCAGCTGTTTTTGGACTACAATTCCCATCATCCCTTACCACTGGTCTTGCTAGTCAGGGATGATGGGAGTTGTAGTTCAAAAACAGCTGGAGGCACAAGGTTGGGAAACACTGATCTAGTTGAGATTCCTGCATTGCAGGAGGTTGAACTAGATGACCCTCAGGGTCCCTTCCGAGTCTACAATTCTACAATTCTATGCCTCCTAGTGTTATTGGAACATAACCAGATGAATGCACACAAAAAGTGTGATACTTCTCAAACTGTTGAAAGTTGTTTGCGATTCAAACTGTAGCTTAGAGCAGAAGAGCAACTATGCGGCCCAGAAGACGCCCCTCTGGAAGATCTAATGACTTGTTCCTTCATAACCCTTGTGACAAATCACTTCTGGAATTGTGCGGAGTTTCAAAAAGATGCACATGGGTGCATCAGGAGAGCGAGGAAGGTTGTCTTTGGAGGGAGGGCCTGAACTGGGTGATCCATGGGATTTGCTCCCACAAGATGTAGTGATGGCCACCAAGTTGGTTTGTGTTAAAAAAAGGATTAGATAAGGCCAGTGCTTTTTTCTGGGGGTGCGCAGGGGTGCGCATACCCCTAAACATTTTGTGAATCTTTGTACTTTTGTCCATTGACTATATTTATTTTTCCTGATTTGAACCATAAAATGGTGATCTTCTTGAGTCAAAATGAGAAAACTCCTAAACATTTTTAAAGGAAAAAAGCACTGATTAAGGCTATCAATGGTTACTAGTCACAATGGCTGTGCTCTGTTTCCACTGTTGGAAGCACAACTCAGGAGAGTCTGTTGCGTTCAGGTCCTGTCTTTCAGGCTTCCCAGAGGCACCTTGTTGGCCACTGGGAGAACAGGAGACTGGACTGATCCAACAAGCCAGGCCCTTCCTATGTTCTTATGAGGTCATATTTTATGCGTTATAGCACTGCAAGGAAGGCCTGTTTGGAAAACTGAGTTGCCATGAAGGAAAAAGAAGGCCCGCCCATTTACGCGATCTTTACTTTGCTACTCATTTCAGGTAGGTTTTCCAGTTCTTATTCCAATAATTAACAAATCAAATGCATCGAAGTAAATATTTACACAGTGAGCAAAACAGGCATTTTTCTGGCAAGCTTTTGTGGGGCTAGAAGGTGAATCAGCTTCACAGGGATAAGTCATCACATTCTTTGAGAGCTAAAGCAGTGACTCATGGCTATTCTATGCAACTGATTTATTGCCCAGTTTGTAATGTCCAGCTGATTAATCAGTTCAATCAAACATTTTTAGCTGTTTAGAAAGTTCCTCCTAACAGAGGCAGCTGGTTCTGAAAAAGTGCCTCAAATTACTTTTAGTGGAAGTAGTTAACAAAAAATGACTGTTGTGGCAAGCACCATATTGGAAGGAGCCTTCTATAAATTGGGGAATGGGGATCATCTTCTGAAAGAGAGTTCTGCTGTAACACTTACTTGGATAAGCTAAAATCAAAGCAGCTGTGCTTCTACTTCAGAGTGTTTTTTTGTTTGTTTGTTTTCGCTTCTGTGCAAATTTATGCAGAATAGAGTAATTGACTAAAATCTATCTTCCCTGACCTGGTGGCCTTCTGGTGGTTTGGCCATGCCATGACTAACTCAGCTCCATTCATTTCAGTGGGTCTACTCTAAGTTAAACTTGGTTAGATACAACTCCATGTGATTAATCCACTAATATTTAATGTGGTGACAGCCTTAGATTGCAATTCTGTACACATGTATTTGAGAGTAAGCACCAACAAACACAATAGGAGCTATGTCTGTGTAAAGAGACCTAGGATTGCACTGTTCAGCTGCAATCCGATACTCACTCACTTGGGAACAAGGCCCAGTGAATGTATTTCTCAGTAGACATGAGCAGTCTTGTGCTGTTAGCTAAATTTGTGGCAATAACAGCACACCATCCTTGAGATTCTCTTAACTGTGAGTAAAACATTCTCTCTCTTTCTCATAGCATTAAAATTCAGAGGGGCTGGTGGTTCTGGACTAACAAAAGAAAGGACTGCTATATCACACCACTAAAATTAATCTGTGGGGCTCCCTGCCACAAGATGTGATGATGGCCTCTAACTCAGACTGCTTTGATTCAGTGGCAGCCAATGTGATGTCCTATAGATGTTGTGAACTACAACCACTGTTATCCTTGACCGCTAGTCACAATGGGAATTGTAGTCATAACATCTGGAGGGCGCCATGTTGGTGAACCCTGCTTTAATTCTTAAGCAAACTCTTGGAAGACTAGTCCTTTCATGTGTTCTAACTATTTCAAATTGCTTTTCAAGGGGGCTGGACGGAAGGCAGCTGGCATGGTTATCGCTCTCGCCGATCCTATCCTATCGCTTTGAATCCAGTAAGTATGGAGAGGGGGGTGAACAGTGGCAACATGATCCATTTGGTGTTGGAGTTAATATGCCAGTTTAGTGTCTATCCTGAAAGTAGCACCATTTATTCAGAAGAAGATCTTGCCAGTTGCATCACAAGTGAACAATGACCGAACAATTCAAAAGCAATGTTTATTTGAACACTCTGATGCAATATTCCCCCTCCCGTCTCTCTCTGTGGGAGATTTTCTTTCCATCATTGTCATTTTGACCCCTCTACAGCACTAGCTTTTTAGAATAGATCCAGCTCTATATATGAGCAATATGCAATTCTGATTTTCTGACCACTTGTCTTTTTCTTCTATTTAATCAGTGTCCGGCCTACCCAATCTGTAAGTAAGATCAGTTTTACTTTTCTCTTATTGGCACAAGAATGAGGGTCAGGGTATTATAGCAGACTGGTAGTGGGTGGGAAGGAGATAATTATCCAGACCCATGACCAATATCACACACAAGTTAAACTGAACTCAGAGCGCTATTTCGGACTAAGGCATTAATGTAATGATCTGTTTATGTGAAAGGCAGTTCCAGCATCCTGGTTCTTTGTCACAGGGCTCGTCCACTCTTCCGCTTGTCTCATGTCTAGAAAGCATGGGTTTGAGTGATTTTCTCCTTGCCCCACTTCTTTCCAGTGGAAATGATCTACAGGTGTAGGACAATGAGGTGGTAAAATCATAGAATTGTAGACATGGAAGGAACCCAAGGGGTCATCTCGTCCAACCCATGCAATGTAGGAATCATAGCTAACCCTGAAGTGGCAGTGTGGATTGCGCCAATTCAGGTTACAAAATGTTCCTTTGAATGCTTTTAAAGAAAAACTTTCCTCCAAATAGAAACCTAACAGATTGGGAAGAAAATCTTAGCATTGCTCCTTGCAAGTGCAAACTTTCTATCTGGAGGGTCCCCCCCCCTTAAAATGCAAGAGAACATTCAAAAATGGCATCTCCCACCTGCATTCTAAAACAGTACAGTCCATTCTGCTAGCTGAGAACTCTACCAGTTCATCTGGCTAACAGGCATTGAAACTTGATGCCTGAAAGTTAATGGAACATTTCCCAAATTTCAGCTATGTTTGTTCAGAGTATGCTAAATTGTACCGCCTAAGAAGACAGTAAAGCTGCACTTTTGCTTGTCCTGCCACTTTCTCCCAGGGAAAATCTCCTCTTTAATACCGAATGGGAGCAAATGTCAATTGAGTTTTCCATGAATTCAGTGGTAAAGACTGGGTTTTTCTGGGGAAAGTGGTTGGGCAAATGGAAAAACACTTGGACACATGCCCAGAAAGTTTGGGAGAAGCAGAAGACCTCTCGGACCTGTACTTTCTAGGCATGGGACGAGCAAAGTGTAGAGGAGCCGTAAGTGAGGCTTCGTTGCTGCCCTGTGAATGGGGCTGCTGTCCAAGGTGCTGAAACTGCTATGGCTTGAGATGTCTCCCAACTGAAGAAAGGAGGGTTGATTCACCAGAGCCGTAATTCAACCCAGACTCATTTGTGTTGCATCGATTGACTGAAGCATGTATAGCTGTGCACTGGGTTATGACTCCTCTGTTCCATTGGATCCAGCAGCCTCATAAGATTTATGTTTATAGATATACCACTTACTCAATAAATAAATACTATGTTTTTATTGCTTCTGGTTACAAGCCAGGCTTCAAAGTTGGCAGGCAATGAAATGACCAGAATATAGATAAAAGCAACTGTTTTTAAAAACAAATATAGGAACACTGTGATTATTTACTTTTTGCCTGTTTGTTTTCACAGCATCAACCTACTGCTCCTCCATCAACAGGTACAGGCGAATGGGGTAGAATTCTAAGTGCTGGTGGTATAAGGTGGACTTTGGGCCAAAGTTTAGGGCCCCATAACTCAGGGGCCTCCCAAATAAGGGCCAAGAGAGCAGCAGTTGAGGAGGGTAGCAGCAAAGTGACTCCATGTTGAAGAGCCTACTGGAACAGGCCAGAGGCCCATCTAGTCAAGCACTGTTCTCACAGTGACCAACCAGATGCCTGTGGGAAATTCACATGAGGGACCCCAGCACAAAAGCTCTCCTCTCCCCTCCTGTTCTTTCCAGCAACTGCTATTCAGAAGCATTGCTGAGCCCTCTCCTTCACGAATCTGTTCAGTCCACTTTTAAAGCCACCCAAGTTGGGAGCACATCCCATAGTTTAACTGTGTGAAGAAATATTTTTTAAATCTGTCCTGAATCTCTCAACATTCAGCTACAGAGGGCCCCTATAAGGCCATTCATTCTAGGGTCTAATTTTTTCCTAACCTATTTGTTACCAGGCCAAAGTCAAGGTTATTGTGTTAATTCACAAAACCCAAAGGACTTGGGCCCTAAGGATCATCTGATTACGACCTCAATCACTGAGCTCTTCACTTTTGGTGGTTCCCCGTGTTCCTGAGTTTTGGTTAGCCTTTACTAGGGACCGAGCCTACCCTGTGGAACTCCCTGCCAGTAGAAACTAGACAGGAATAATCCCTGCCTACTTTCAGACATCTGTTGAAAACTGTATTATTCAGGCAAGCCTTTGCAATATGATTTCCAACACCCCCCCCAGCTTGAATGATGCTTTTATCAGAGGGACTGTCAGTTTGTATGTGGTATAAATGTCTTGCTGTATTTACATGATGTGTGCAATTGATAACTATTGATAACTACAGTATTTAAATAAACAAGAAAGTCTGTCTGAAATGAATAAGGAGCCCCACTCCATATGTTGTGCAGCTTTTAAAAAACAAAAGGCAGTAAGTTGGCAATACAATCGAATGTGAGTTTACTTGGAAGGAAGTGTCACTTTGTTCAATGGGGCTTACACCTATGTGAGAATTGCAGGCTGAATCATTTAATCTTTTCAGTAGCCAAAAGTGAGATGAAATGTATTTGACTGGTTGGCAGAATTATCTATAAACTTGTGTGTTTCTTTATACAGGGCAGAGCTAAACTCCACGCTTGAAGAACCATGCCAATTTACACTGCCACAGTATGCTTGTGGCTCAGCAGACCAGGTATCTTTGCCAGGCTTTAAATATCCAAAAGAATGCAGTTTGGTATATAAGGTCTTCCAAGTTTGCTTATTCAACAGCTCAGATTCTGCAAAGTTTATCTTAATCGATTTGCCATGGAGCCAATGTCATGCCAGTGCTTTGCTTTCAGCTTAGGAAGCTCAGTTCTTGGGAAGCTTCCATTGAGTTATCAAATAATGTTATTTAGGAAACGAAATAAACCCGGAAATGAAAATAGTAGGCATAGAAAAAGAGGTGGGAGCAATTATTGCCAAGGGCAGAGAAGAGGACTAGTTTAAGGGAAGGATTGGAGCTATTAAAAGACATGTAGCTGTGAAGATGAGTGTTTGGGGCTTGAAAGAGTACCTCGTTTTGCTACTGCTAGTGCAAATAATTCACAGAAAATGACACAAATACATCTTTTGCTCTACAGATCTCCAACCTGACGTCAAGTGAGCTGGCCTCCATCCTCAAGTGCTCCATCACAGACTCTGAGGCCCGGCTGGACCAAGGGGCTTTCTTGATGCTCTTTGAAAATGTTGACAAAGACACACTCCAGGCAGCTCTGAATGAGATAAATCTGCAGGTAAGTAGTACTCTCACAAAAACCTTCTTTGGTTCTGCAAAATGGTCCTAGTTTTTGTGTGCTGTTAGGACCTCTCTGGTGGACACTAGGATCTGTTGAAGACCAGTGTTGCATCTGGGCTTGGGTAGGTAGATAAGGTGCGTAGCATAAGGGCTGCTCCTTTGGAACTAGAATTTCTGACCTGTGGTGCTTGCTTTCCTTCCGCTCAACCTGTATGTTTGCGAATGGATAGCTCTATTTAGAAAGTGACACCCCAGAGACCCAGTTTTGCAGGGAAGATTTTGCAGTGAGACCTGGAGACCTGTACAGAATCACAGGGCTGCAAAGGAACAGAGGGTCACAAAGCCAAATTGCCCTGCAGCTCAGACCAGGATCTCCTGTGCATTTGCAACTCTCCCATCCCCAGGATTTTAACTTGTGTAACTCTACTGCAAGCAGAGAGCTTAAAGCTGAGCAACTGAGAATTATAAAACTAATGTTGTGTGCATGCAGTACACATCGTATATGAAGATCTGCATTGATTGATGCTGCTGCCTGTGCTATTTTGAATGGTGAATAAGCTGGGTCATCCCGAGACGTTTGTTGCCTGAGCTGAGGACTGGAGTGTGCCAGCGCCCTGTTTCACAAACAGAAGCTGGTTGGAGTGGCAGGGGAATCTTACTTTAGCACTGTCAGTGTGATGGCATCCTCCCCCTGGCTTGAGGGCAGTGAGCTAGTTTAGGGGGCATTGAAGAGGCATAGCTCAGTTGACCAGGACAGAGAAAAGAAGAGGCTTCTTCATGCAGCATATAGTTAAACTATGGAACTCACTCCCACAGGAGGCAAAAATGTCGACCAACTTGGATGGTTTTAAACGAGAACAGGACAAATTCATGGAGGAGGTGGCTATCAATGGCTATTAGCCACAATGGCTATGCTCTGACCACAGTTGGATGATGATGATGATGGTGATGATGATGATGATAATAATAATAATAATAATAATAATAATAATAATAATAATAATAATAATAATAATAATAATAATAATAATAATAATAATAATAATAATTTTTATTATTTATACCCCGTCCATCTGGCTGGGTTTCCCCAGCCACTCTGGACCACTTCCAACAGAATATTAAAATACAATAATCTATTAAACATTAACAGCTTACCTAAACAGGGCTGCCTTCAGATGTCTTCTAAAAGTCTGGTAGTTGTTTTTCTTTTTGACATCTGGTGAGAGGGCGTTCCACAGGGCGGGTGCCACTACCAAGAAGGCCCTCTGCCTGGTTTCCTGTAACTTGGCTTCTCACAGTGAGGGAACTGCCAGAAGGCCCTCGGCGCTGGACCTCAGTGTCCTGGTAGAACGATGGGGGTGGAGACGTTCCTTCAGGTATACTGGACCGAGGCCATTTAGGGCTTTAAAGGCACTAACAGTAATGTTTCTGAATAGCAGTTGCTGGAAATCACAGGAGAGGAGAGTGCTGCTGTCGCACTCAGGCTCTACTTGTAGGTTTCTCATGGGGATCTGGTTGAACCCTGTGAGAACAGGATGCTGGACCAGATGGACCACTGGTCTGATCCAGCAAGCTATCCTTCTATTTTTAAATAACAGCCACATGATGTGTAGTGATAATTTGGATATGTGTTGCAAAAATATAGTGCCAGGTTAACCCCGCTTATCTCTCCTCCTTGAGCACCAACTGTTCCACATTTCTGTTTTATTTAGGTCTCTGGGGACCAAATCTCACTGACAGCCAAAACCTTCTTGCTGAATGCAGCATGGGAAAAGATCAAGGCAGACCCCCGGGTCCAGAGCGCAGGCTTCCTTGCCTCTTGGTTTCAAGACACAGTGCACTCCTACCTGGCAGCGATAAACTCCAATGTCCTAGAGTGCATGACTCAGCTTCCGATCACTTGTGATGGCTTCGCTACTGTGTAAGTGACAACTATTAGTAAGAAATCAATCTTTGGAACTCCCTGCCTACTGACATCAGGCAACCCCCTTCCCTGTTTGGGAAAATACATTTATGTTTAGGCAAGCCTGTCCAGATATGTACAATGTTGATCTGTGTTTTAAACTGGGTTTTAGCTTCTTGATGTTAATATTTTTTTGAAGATTTTAAGTAGTTTTTCATTGTTTTTCACTGATAATTTCATTTCCCCCCTCCCTTTTTTGTAAACCACTCTGAGGTTTTTTGTTTTTTACATTCAAGAGGACAACATTCAGAGTTAGCAGCTGGTTCCCTCTGGTTCCCTCTCAATGAGATGAGAATTTCAAGACAGCTGTAGTTGCAGGATTCAAGCAGACGTTTGGATCCTGAATACTGCAGTCTGAAAGGTCCTTTGCACAAGAGATATGTATGGTTCAAAATTCACAGGGATGACATGAGTTATACCCAGGGCTGCCCTTGAAGGCTGTTTGGAAATGCCAGCTGCTGCAGAATGCTGATGGGGATGAGACCTGTAGATTTCTCAGTCCAATTCAAGTTGCTGGCTTTAACTTAAAAAGCCTTAGTACCAGGGTACCTGACTGGCCACCTCTCCCAAAAAGAATATCATCTGAGGCTCTTCTCCTTACACCCCACAAGAAACACCTGAGGGTGGCAGCAGGGAGAGGACCTTTTTGGTTGCAACCTCCTTCCCAACAGTTGTGGAATGCTCTCCCAATTGAGGCCTGCCTGGGACCATCACTGACAACCTTTTGGTGTCATAGTAAGACTTTCCTCTGTCTGGGCATTTGATTGCATTTGAAAGGTTATGGAGGCTGGCTGCACGAGTTGTCTCCAGCTAAGCTCTGCTGAGAGTAGACTCAATGAAATAAATAAACTGGAGTTGGTTATCATGGCCATTGTTTTTGGTTGAGTCTTGTCTGAGTAGGACTAGAATCGGATGCAAGCCCTTGTCCCACAGAGGCTGCCCTGTGTAAGGTATCAAACAGATAAAACCAACAATAAGATGCTTATTTCCCTTCTTGTGTCTCCCATCATTAGTGTTCAGGCTCTGGACAGTGCATATTCTGGGATGGACAGCAGCACAAAGCAACAGGTTGCCAACTGGATTGGGAGATTCCTTACAATACAAAGTAAGTGGGGAATGTGCCCCATTCTGGTGCTCCTTTCACAAGCGGTCAAGAGTCATAACTCCAGAAAAGCTGAATCTGAGCCAGCAGAACAGCCCAGAGTCACATGACTCGTGGACCTGCAGCCGTTGAACAGCCCTGTATTGGACAGGACTCCCTCTCTTATTTAGGGATGGACAGATGTTGGTTTCTCCTGTTTTCTTATTTTTCCAGCTTTATGTTGGAAAAGCTCACCTTATTCCTGCATCTAGTTGATCGGTTTTCTTTTTTAAAGAAAGGTCCACATGGAAATTCATCTGCATTTTGTGCAAATTATTTCTCCCAATATTTCTTGAGTGCAAATTTATACACGTTTTTGCAATCAATTATTCTCCCCCTTATACGATGCAGTTGTTTCCACTCATATATTATTATATTCATTGTTGTGCAAACCTTTCAGTTGGAGGGGTGCAAAATTACAAAGGGTAACTGTGTTTTGGTTTTCTTTTAGTTCAGAAACTGCAGATTAGGAATTAGGGCTTGTGTAGGTGGAATCTTAAAGAGGAGGACCTCACACTCCTGCCAACCTCCTGTAGGATGCATTATTATTAATTTCATTTATGAATCACTTATAATGAGGCATCTCAAAGTGATTTACAATAAAAAACATATACAATATAAACAACCAGATGAAATACAATTGACAACAACAACAACAACAACATGATTTACATATGTAAAGTCAATTTCAACTCCAGTACAACTCCAGTACTGAGTGGGATAATAGTCCTAGTTGCTTCATTAGAAATTGTTCCATTTGACCCTTTGAAAAATAAAGCGTCTTAAAAAAAATTAAATACATTTTTTCGTCTTCTTCATTTTATTATTATTCATTAAACTACAGCAAGGGAGAAAAATGGCATTATAATACATTTATAAACAGAAAAGAGAGTGAGGGGGAAAATAAATACATAATCTAGGTAAACAAATATTATTTCTAGTCTTTCATTTCGATATAATGCATTCCAGTATTCACAAAATAGTTCCATCTCTCCCCATACGTTCCATTTCATCTCATGCTTTCTCTTTTCTGGATTGTATCAGTCAGTTTCTCCATTGCTGCCAGCTCCACACATTTCATTAGCCTTCACCAAACAGGTGGCAGATTTTGGTCCTTCCATTTCCTTGCCCACCCCACAAAGCTCCTTTGGATGTTGCTTTTCAGGCTGCCCACAGAGTTCACCCAAAGAATGGATTCAGAGCTACTGGAAGAGTTTCCTGAACAACGCCTCATACAATGACCTCCTGAAGACCTGGAGTGGATTTGATGGGGTAAGAAAATCAATTGCACTTGTGGCTCTGGAGAGTAACTCACTCCAACCACAAGGTGTGGAATGCAACTTGAAGGCTTCCTGTCGCGGTGGGGGTGAGGGAAGGCACTCTGCACGTGCTCTGAAGTACTCTGGCCTTTTTTTTAAAAAAAAGCAAACAGATGCTGCTTCACAAAGAAAAGGCAGATGCTCAGAGGCACTTCATTTTTATGCCCTCCTGACAAGTACATAGGCTCCTTGTGACAGGTTAGATTTTTATTGGGGGGGGCATTAGAACCATTATATATGGGATGGGGGATAACCTTTAGGGACATAGGAATTGGCAGTGACTCTCCAGGGTTTCAGGTGAGGACATTCCCAGCCCTACCTGGAAATGCTCCTGGGGAGTGAATTTGGGACATTCTGCATGCCAAGCAGATGTTCTACCACTGAGCCCTTCCCATATATACTCCATGCATGCTTGGAGGACATGGAGAAATGGTCAACACTAGTCCTTAGAAGAGCTATTGTTTTGTCCATTTAGGTCTGCCTGCACCAAACTCATGATTTTCACCCATTTTCTAGTTTGCAGCTTTGGATGTCCTGACGGCCTCCCAGCTTGCCCAACTGACCATTGCTCGTGGTGTCCTGGCCAATGCCAGCCTGGCAGAAGCTGTTGCCCAAACCCTCCGCAGCCAGAGCATCCGCTTCATGGAAGATTACTTGACTCAGTTATCACTGTTGCCCCTGGAGCCCTCACCTGAGAGCGGAGCCAGCTATCTGTTGCTGGAGACCGTTCTGAGGAAGGTGAATGAGAGCTTCCCCGACCTCTGCTCACCCTCCTTGAAAGACCTGTTTCAGGTGAAACTGATGAGGTTCCTGCCTGTTGCTGATGCAAAGATCCTGGAGCTTTTCCCGACCAAAATTGGTTGCACAGACTTCCATGATATGTGAGTAGGCTCAGGTTAAGGATGGGTGGTCCATGGGTTGTACTTGATGGAGGGAAGTCCTCTAATGGAAAAACTGTCAGAGGTAGAGATGTCAATCCTGCCCTGTGTTTGTCACAATGCAGCAACTGAAAAAAGATAATGCAATTCTAAGCAGCATCAACAGAAGTCTAGTGTCCAGATCAAGGGACGTAATAGGACCTGCCTTGAAGGTGAAGCATGGGAAGTCTCAACAAAAAGTTTATAATTTAGGCAGAATATTTGGACTATTTGATACGTACTTGTATAATTCAGAACATTCAATGCCATTTGATTGGATTGTTAAAATGGGAAACTTAATAAAAATGATTTAAAAATAAAAATAGGACCTGCCTTGGTCAGGTCCCACCTGGAATATGAGTCCAGTTCTGGGCACCACAGTTTGAGGAAGCATATTGACAAGCTAGCATGTATGCAGAGGAGGTAGACCGAGAAGATCAATGGTCTGGAAATCAAGCCTTTTGAGGAACCATTGAGGGACCAGGGTATGTTTAGCCTTGATAACAGAGGACTGAGAGATGATATGAGAGCCACTTTCAAATATCTGAAGGGCTGTTGCATGAAAGATGGAGCAAACTTGTTTTCTGCTGCTCTAGAAAGTACAACCTGAATCCATTGATTCCAATTACAAGAAACAAGATTACAACTAAACATCAGGAGTAATTTTTTGATGAGAAGTGCTGTTTGACAGTGGGACAGGCTACCTCAGGGGTAGAGCATCTGCTTGGCATGCAGAAGGTCCAAGGTTCAATTGAGGCATCTCTGGATAGGGGTGAGAGAGACCCCTTTCTGAAACCCTGGAGAGCTGCTGCCAGTCAGTGTAAACAATGTTGAGCTAGACGGACCAATGGTCTTATAAGGCAGCTTCCTATAATAGGCCAGAGAAGTACAATTATGTGTACAAAGAAAACTGGATTTCCCTATCATGGAGAAGGTACAAAAATGCATTCTGCTTTGCTTGCTTTGCAGCTACAAAGGGATCGATTCTGTCTATCATGAACTAGACAACAGCACCCAAAAGGCTATCTGCACAAAGCGTCTGGATTTTCTGAAAAGACAACTTACAAAAGAAGGTGATAGATGGTTATTTTGTGGTTTTTCTCCCTTGCTGGAAATCGTGATAAACTATTAAGATTTTAAGGCAAGGGACGGGGAGCTTTTTCAGCTGAAGGACCACATTATCTTGGGGGTAATCTTCTGGGATCCACCTGCTGGTGGTGAATGTGCCAGAGTCACAAGGGGTGTGTGTGAACAGGGGCAAAAGTGGGCGGAGCAATTGCATCTCCATATTCCCTGCAGGAGCTGCCTGCACCATCATGACATCGAGCAGCAGAGACTGGCTGCAGGAAAACTTCGGACTCTCCAGCAGCTTTGCAGACTACAATGATTTTCTTCACCTGAACCCCTCTTTTAATGGCGTAAGTAGTGTTGTTCCCCACGGGATGCGGGTGGCGCTGTGGGTTAAACCACCGAGCCTAGGGATTGCCGATCAGAAGGTCGGCGGTTTGAATCCCCACGACGGGGTGAACTCCCATTGCTCAGTCCCTGCTCCTGCCAACCTAGCAGTTCGAAAGCACCTCAAAGTGCAAGTAGATAAAAAGGTACCGCTCTGGTGGGAAGGTAAAAGGTGTTTCCGTGCACTGCTCTGGTTCGCCAGAAGCGGCTTAGTCATGCTGGCCACATGACCTGGAAGCTGTACGCCACCAATAAAGCGAGATGAGCGCCACAACCCCAGAGTCGGTCATGACTGGACCTAATGGTCAGGGGTCCCTTTACCTTTACCTTTAGTGTTGTTCCCCACCACCACCAATCCCCAGCCTCCTTTGAAGTGGGGCAGGAAGATGGGGGGGCAGGGAGTGTCCAGCTCCAGGCCCTTTTCTCTCTCCCCACCCCAGAGCAGGAGCATTGTCATTATCTGCCAGGGCATCAGAGCAATTGATCTGACAAGTGAACGAGGTGATAATGAGGCTTTCAAGTCCCCTTCCCCTGCTTGTGACAGATGAGCATTGAGGAAGTCAGGGAGTGAGGGCAATAATCATGTGAAGACCAGGTTCTTCTTCCCCTTTGACAGGGGTTCTTCCTTCATGCTAACAGTTTTGAGGGTGGTGATTCTTTGTGAGACTGCTGAACTTCAGGTGACGGAAGATCTTTCAGTGAAGTGCTCACTGTGAGGTGTTTTTATTTATTTACTTATTAAATTTGTATCCCACCCTTCCTCCCAATGGCCGCACCATCATGTTAAGCCAATGGGGTATAGTAGCCAGCGTGGTGTAGTGATTAGAGTATCCAACTAGGACATGGGAGACCACTTGGACCAGTCACTCTTTCCCGTTTAACCTACCTCACAGAGGATAAAATGGGGAAAGGGAGAACCTTTAGCTTCCAGGAGGAATAAATAAAACAGTAGACTTTAGGATAATAAAGAAAACATGTGGAACATTTTCAAAGCCTCTAAAAACATGTAAACTAGAACACTGGAAATGTTTAGAAGCAATTGTATACCACCAGAGTTATTGATGCTGTGGTTGCTGTGGCCAGTTATCTCTCAGCCGTCAAGCACCTGCGCAAACAGGAATGTTCTTTAAATTTCTCCTGGAAATCAATCATGTGGGAGCCACCACCAAGGAGGCCCTGCCACGGCCAAGGCCAACTGGGCAATGCTTTACCAGCTGACCTTTGGTGATCAGAAGCATGCTTTAGATGGACCTACAGTCTGAACCAAAAGGGGCTTCTTACACCTGCCCACCACACTCATACAGGGAATGAAGCTCTGGTGATGATGGTGTCCCTCCCCGCTGCCCCTTGTCTTTCAGTTTGAAGTGCTGGATTTGCTGACAACAACCCAGATGGGAACGCTGCTTGTTATCTCTGGCACCTTAACAGACAGCGCCAGGGTCAGTGCTGAGACGGAGGCAACAAATGTGATGGCAACCCTTCAGAGCCGAAGCATATCTGAGCTCCAAAGCTTCTTCTCAGCATCCAGGCACAGGTGAGCCAGTTTGAATGGTGAATCTCCAGATGGTGTTGGATGCCAGTTTTGGACTGGGAGATTCATGGAGGAGGCTAGCCTTGACTACTAGCCACAATGGGTATGCTCTGCCTCAAGGGGCAGAGGCAGTAATGCTTCTGATACCAGTTGCTAGAAACCCAAAGTGGGGAGAGTGTGCTTGTAGCTGGTCCTGCTTTCAGGTTTCCCCTTGGGGCATCTGGTTGGCCACTGTGTGAACAGGATTCTGGATTAGACAAGCCAGATCTCACCCAAGTAGACAATGGATCTCACCCAGTATGGCTCCTCTGTAGGTCAGCCTTTCTCAACCTGTGGGTCCCCAGATATTGTTGAACTACAACTCCCATCACCCCTACCTAGCAAGGCCAGAGCTCAGGGTTGATGGAGTTGTATCAACAACATCTGGGGACCCACAGGTTGAGAATCGCTGTCTTAGGTTCTTAGATCCATTGTTCTGTTCGAATGCAGAGCTTTCTAAGACCCCTGCCATTCACCAAGGATAAAGCAGATTTTCGAATCTGAAATAAAAGAAACGAGCCTCCATATATTTGATGGTTGTATGTTCTTTGTCTCCAGGGGAGCATCACAGAGATAACCAATGTGCGGGTTCGTGAGATCATGTTACGGGGGATTTTCCAACTCCTGAAGCCACACTTTGTCTCCATGCCAATGCCTGATTTACTGTCCTGGTTCAATGGGCTCCTGATAATTTATTTCCCATCCATCACAGTGGAGGAGCTGGGGGCCCTTCCTACTCTCCCCAACTGCACGCAGATACAACCCATGTAAGTAAAATTTTGATTAGTGCGGTTTCGTGCTGGTTGCATATAATAACACCCAGGCGGAAGGAGGTGCATTGGCTGCTGTTTTGCTATGGAGACAGCTTTAAGGCCCTAAATAGCCCAAGATCAGGTGAGATGGAGCATGCAATATGGAGCAAGCTTGTTTTCTGCTGCTGCTGCTCCAGAGGGTAGGACCTGAACCAATGCATTCAAATGAGAAGAAAGGCGCTTTCAGCTAAACATTAGGGATAGGTTTCTGGTGGTGAGAGCTGTTTGACAGTGGAATGGACTCCCTAGGAAGGTGGTGGACTCTCCTTCACTGGAGATTTGTAAACAGAGGTTGGGTTGCCAAAGACTAGATGACCCTTGAGGTCCCTTCCAACTCAACGGTTTTATAATACTATTAGCTGAGAGATGGCCTTCCTCTGTAGAGGCTGCCTCCATCATTGTGATCTGCTAGGGAGGGGGCCTGAGGAGTGTACTCATTGGACAGAGGCAGATCTGGCCACAGTATGGAGGAGGGTCTTCTTAGGAGTGGCCTCAACCTATGGAATAAATGTCTTCATTCAGATTAGCGGAGTGGGGAATCTGTGGACAGCTTTTGCCAGGAGTTAAAAGCACATTGAACCACCCAAGTAATTTCTTGACTATTCTTGTGCCTCCTGGTGCTGACTTTTCAGTCTTTGACTTGGGTGTGTAAATCAGGGGTGTAAGCTATGGGGGGCTAATTAGAGGGCCACAATTCCTCAGGAGTAATCTGTTGGGGGCTGCCTTGGTGGGCAGAAGTAGAGACCAAAGTGTTCTGAATTAATGGTGTCCCTGCATTTGGATGCCTTGCAGTGTGAAAGGGCTGGATTCTGCCTTTGACCAGATGTCATTGGAGACCAAGACTGGTGTGGCCCAGTGGATCCTCCAGGCCCTTCGAAAAACAGGTGAGCCTTTTGTTTCCTGGCTTTCTAACTCATGTACAGGTGGAGGAATCAGTCAGTTTTGGATCTCTTCACTTCTTTCTTCTGAAATCTTAACATCAGCCCTCCACTCACAGGTTGTTTCTTTACTTATTAAACTGCTGTCCCATGTCTCCTCTCGAAGGAGCCCTGGGTAGAAATATGATGGGGTCCTTTGTGTGGATTAGTGTGCAAACAGAATGGAGTCACCATCACCATCATTTTTATCACTATTATTAATAAATTCATTTGTTAGCCATCTGACACAGGGCTGTCTCTACAATCACGTTTAAAGATATAAAAACTTATTAATATAAAAACTGTCAATATTCAAAGAAATAGAATCAATACACAAAACATAAATTGCAATCTTCCATCACGGGTATAGCAACCCAGAACAGAACTTGAGAACTTGTCTACACTTTCGCTTGTCCCGCGGCTAGAAAGTGTGGACCAGAGTGGTTTTCTGCTCGTCCAGTGCTTTCTAGGCTCAGGTCAGAGTAGTTTTGCCATTGCCCGCTGCTTTCCCCGAGAAAACCCTCTTGTTTGCTCTAAACCAGAGCAAATGTCAATCTAATTCAGCACTAAACTGTGGGTTTTCCAGGGAGAAAGTGGTGGGGCGAATGGAAGTGTGGGTGACTCCTAAGATAAAGTAATGGGATCAAATTCCAGGGAGAAGTTGGAAGTTCAGTGTTGGTGCCAGGCGGACCTTGTTCAGGGCAGCATTTCACAGGCAGTGGTGGAACATTTATGGAATGGCCTTAGGAATGAACGAATGCAAAAGTGAAGCTGACTAGAAATTAAATTATCCTTTCATCCCTGGCAAAATCCACTGGTTCTTAGTTTACATTGCTGCATAAACAACAGTGCAGCGACAACCCATCTTTTGGAACTTTGGTTAAATATTTGCAAGCATTTGCTTTGTTCATCTGGTGCTCCTAAATGGGTACCTACTTGCAGAATTGCAGAAACATTTATTATTATTATTATTATTATTATTATTATTATTATTATTATTTTATTTCAGACTGCCAGATGACCGGAAACTGGCTCTCCCTCAACTTCCAGAGATTCAAGTCCTTCATTAGCATCACAGATTTGATGTCTCTTGACCCAAGCTTCAATGGGGTAAGATCAGCTGTGATGCTCTTGCTATTAAGATCAACCAGGGTCTGGTCCATATTTTACCACAGCAGCAGAGGAAGCAATTCATCCTTTGGTCTTAAGCCCTTAGCTCTGTGGTAGAGCACCTGCTTTGCATGCAGAAGGCCCCAGGTTCAATCCCTAATGGCATCTCCAGGTAGGGACGGGAGACACTCTTGCCTGAAACCCTGGAAAGCCGCTGCTAGTCAGTGTAGGTGGTAATGAGATAGATGGGCCAATGGCCTGACTTCCAGCCTTCACACTATGGGGATGATAACACTGGCCTACCTCATAGGGCTGTTGTATGAAATGCAATGAAATAAAAGTGGGCAAAGAACTTGGATCATATAAAAGCACCATATACAGTCATGCCTCGGGTTACAGACACTTTGGGTTGCGCGTTTTCAGGTTACGCACTGCGCCGAACCCGGAAAAACCAGAACAGGTTACTTCCAGGTTTTGGCACCTGCGCCTGCGCAAGAACACTAAATCGTGCTTTGCGCATGTACAGAAGTGCTGAATCGCAACCCACGCATGCGCAGACGTGGCGTTGTGTTAATGCCAATGAGGTTGCGTTACTCTATAGTTATAATTTATATTCCAACTTCCTCAAGACATGTACGGTGTTGCATAAGGGATATCACATTTCAGTCCTTGCAACAACCCCAAGCAGTAGGCTGGTCTTAAGCCGATGAGTCAGGAACCACTGATTCCTGACTGATGAGTCAGTGACCTGATCCAAGGCGAATTGCAACGGGAAGCACCACTGCCATGCAAAGATATGGGGAAAGATTAAGAAATGGGTCCCCAAATGCATGTTTGGGTTAAAGGTGGGTGTTAGGACTGAAACACTTGAAGATTACTAGGCTAGAGCACCCAGTGAGCTCCAGGACTGAGCAAGGATTTGAACTCAGATCTTCTCAGGCTAAGGTAACATGATGCCAACTACTCCCCAGGATGAAAAGCGGATGGACTATTTGAGAGACCACAGTAAACAGTTAAAAATCATTAGGAGGGATACAATGACACCTGTAAAGTAACATGAACTTTGGAAATTATGGATACTTAATAGATAGATTACAGTAAAAAACCCCCGCAGAAATGAAAGTTTGAAATGGAACCCATGGAAGGATGTCCGAAGGTTTGGGGAACCTTATTACTTACTATTTAATTAATGGTGTTGTCTGTTTTGTATAATATATGAAAAACCAAATAAATAAATTTATTTAAAAAAAGAAAATAAGAGCGGGTGGATGGATGAAGCTATTCATTTCTGTGTGCCTTCTCTCTGTTTCAGACGGCTAACATAGGGGAACTCTCAGCAGTACAACTTGCTCAGCTGACTGTGAATCCAGAGATGCTCTGCTGCGTCGATAAAGTGAAGATGGTCTTCGCAAGGCTGGCTCAGCTGCCTGGCCTTGATCACCTGGCTGCTTTCTGGGATGCATTCAACATTGCCTACAAAAAGGTACAGAGCTCAGGGACCCACCTTCCACCGCTGAGCAGGGCACCAGAAATGACTTTCTGGAATAACAGAAGCGTGGAGAAAGCAGATGTAGAGAAAAGCTTTCTTCCCTCTCTCACAGCCCTGGAACTTAGGGCCATTCAGGACAGACTAAAGGAAGCCCTTCTCCACACAGCCCATTGTTAAAATGTGGCACTCATTCCCCCAGGAAGCACTGATGGCCACAACTCTGAATGGCTTTAAAAGAGGCTTTGGCAAATGCATAGAGGAGGAGAAGGCTGTTTTACCTCTGCTGTTGGAGGCAGCATGCTCTAATTGCTTGGAATTGCCGGTGGGGAGAGGGCTCTTGCACTCAAGTCCTGTTTGCAGACTTCCCAGAAGAGGCATCTGGTTGGCCACTGTGAGAACAGGGTGCTGCACCAGATGGACAATTGACAACTGTTAGAGCCATATGGCACATAACATTAATTCCCAGAGTACCCAAATTTAGATTCAGAAAGAGTCAAGCAGCCTGAACTAGGCTGGGGTTCTTCTCATGATTAGGGTAGGGGGCCTTTAACATATTTGCCTCTTGCTATGGTCCTTTGGTGTGAACCGGCTTCAGATGCAGCCTTCAAGTATGAGTTATAGAATCATAGAATTGTAGAGTTGGAAGGGAACCCCAAGGTCATCAAGTCCAACCCCCTGCAATGCAGGAATCGCAGCTGAAGCATCCATGACATTTGTTTGAATTAGCATGTCCTTCTTGACTTGATGGACTTCTTGGGAGGGAAGCCATAAGCAATGACTCTTTGAACCAGTCTGAAACCAATGGCATCTTGCTGTGTAAACCTGCCCTTGCCATACGACTGCTTCAGAGGATGGGCTGTATGGGGGTAGATGGAGGGATGGACGGACAGGGAAATAAGCCATTTCTTAGACTTTAGTAATATGTGCCAAAGCTATGTGAATGTCCCTGTCCGTTCACGCCCTCTCCAGTAAGTATAATAATAATTTTTATTAGGCTACCCGAAGATACCCAGAGTCTCAGAAACCGAGACTCAGAGTCAGACGGTCTTTGTCTCAGGTAAGGTCTTTTGCATCATGGAGCAAACCCCATCTTAGGCAAGCAGATGGGATGGAATGGCACTTTAATTAATAGCTTCTAGAGCAACTTTTTTTGGGGTGTTTTGTTTTTTGCAAGGTCTTCTATCAAATGGAACCCTATTGACCTGGTGGCTGGTATTTTGGTGGCCAAGGGAGTAGTGGTCTGGTTTGATATACTTAACAGGCACCTTTATCTGAAGTAGCTGATAGTGCCCCCATGAGCTACACCAGGGTAGGCCAATGTGATGCCCTCCAGATTTTGCTGGGTCACAACTACTACCAGCCCAAGCTATCATAGGGAACGGTGAATAATCCTGGGAGTTCCTGGGCACATCTGAGGGGCACCGTGTTGGCTACTCCTGTGCAAGAGTTGCACATGCTTTGGTGAGTGCCACACTGTAGAGCAGTGGTTCTCAACCTGTGGGTCCCCAGATGTTGTTGGACTACAACTCCCATCATCCCTGAGCTCTGGCCTTGCTAGCTAGGGGTGATAGGAGTTGTAGTTCAACAACATCTGGGGACCCACAGGTTGAGAAAGGCTGCTGTAAAGGAATTCGAAACACCTCATGCAAATTGGTTTGGCTGTAATGGCTTCCTCCAAAGGTCCCCTGGGAATGATCAATGAGCCACTGACCTGATCCAGCAGGCTCATCTTATGTTCTTACAAGGGGCCGCTCCCCTAGCTTTCACCTTTAACCCCATGTCTCTGCCTTCTCCCCTCCTCTGGTGCAACTCTCTTGCACATAAACTACCCCACCATTGTCTGCTATTGCTTAAAACAGCCATTTCCCTGTGTCCCTCCCTGCTTTATTTAAACTTCTGCTGTTGTTTTAAACTGCCCCTTGTTGGTATTCCCTCTCTTCTCATTCCTCTGCCGTGGCCAGTGTTGTTGTGCAACCTGCCTTCACTTTTGCTCCCCTACCCCACCTAGAATTCATGCAAATTGTGATGTGGCACTGCAAATCCTCTAATTCGAGCTGCATGATGACAACCTTACATCTCTCTTTATATAGGGAGATCTCTAGGAAGGATGAGTGCTACTGGAATTCAGTGTAGATAAAACTGAGCCAGGTGGAACAGTGGTCTGGCTTGATAAAAGGCAGCTTCATAGGTTCACTTAAGGGAAGGGGTGGAGCATTGATCAAAAGTACCCACCTTGCATGCAAAAGATTGACTTCAAAGGCACGCTGGAAGAGGAAGGTCTTCAGTAGGTGCCAAAAAGACAACAGGGAGGTGCCTGTCTGGTATTCAAGGAAGGACCCCCAAATTTAAAGCAGTAACAAGACCTTCCCTGATCTCCGGCCCTCTTCTCTCGAAATCTTCCTGCCAAAGTTTGTAATCATCTTTCATCCCCATTTTAGCCCAGTTCTGCCAGCGTGCTCAATATCTCAATGGATGTGAAAATGGCCATGCTCACCTTGACGATGGAGCGCTTGAGCGTGGCGTTTTCAACCTTCACCAATGCTGATTTTCGGGTCTGGTTTGAGGATAGACTGGTGGTCGTCCTGTCCAGTGTGAATGCAGAGTTTCTTGGGAAAATCCCCCAAAGTATATCCTGCGAGGCTTACAAGTCTGTGTGAGTGTTGACCTGTTCTTTATTTTGGGGGAAGGTCCCCTCCGAACTTATTTATTTATCCATGTTTTATACTGCTTACTGTACTATAATAAAACACCTCTGAGGGATTTACATAAAATCTGGACAGAGACAGCCTAACCTCTGTCATCTATGCTCTGGTAATCTCTAGGTTAGATTACTGCAACGTGTTAAATGTAGGTCTGCCTCTGGAGATGGTTCAGAAACTTCAGCTGGTGCAGAATTCAGCGGCGAGCTTGTTACTGGGGCAAGACAGTTTGAGCATATAACACAAATCCTGGTCCAACTGCACTGGCTGCCAAGTGCTTCTTGGGTCCAATTCAAAGTGCTGGTTTTCATCTATAAAGCCTTAAACAACTTAGGACTGAAGTACCTCAAGGACTGCTTTGCCCCATATGAACCAACCTGGACCCTGTGCATCATCATCTGAAGCCCTTCTTCATGTGCCTCCTCCACCAGAGGTCTGGAGGGTGGCAACACGAGAAAGCCTCTCCTCCTCCAAGAGGGGAGATGTTGTATGCGGGACGCGATTTCTGCGTCACACAGGGAGCATTACGCCCCCTGCCCCACTCACCTGGCTGGTGCACCACGCCCACAGGTAAGCGCCCAACCGGGCGGCTTGGAGGGGGCGTGGTTTGCAGTTTAACTTACTGCTGCACCAGCCATTCCGCCTCATTTTCCGCCTTTTCTGCAGTGGCTGCTTGCTTCTGGAATGTTCTTTCCAGGGAGGCTCGCCTGGCACCTCAGTTACATATCTTGAGACAGAAACATTCCTCTTTTCCCAGGCCTTTGGCTAATTAAACAATCTATGCCCTTTTAAAATGTGTATGTGGAGGGGTATTGTTTTTGTTTGTTATTATGATATGTATTTATGTGTTTTTATATTGTAAACTTCCCTGAGATCTTTGGAAGAAGGGCAGAATAGAAATTTAAACAACAACAACACAGCAACAGTCAATCAGATTCCCTTAAAAACCAGATTAAAACTTAGAGTTGTGTCCAACATTAGGCCTACTCAGAGTATACTCACTGAAATTAATGCACGTTACTAACTTAGCAGCTAGGGTGGGGAACTTGGCTGCAAAGTCAATCCCTGCAGAAGGGTTCCCAGCATAGCTGTCAACGTTTCCCTTTTTAAAAGGGAAATTCCCTTATTCCGAATAGGATTCCTCGCAAGAAAAGGGAAAAATTAACAGCTATGGTTCCCAGTCACATTTGGTCCCACCAGGGTTGGGGCGATGGACTAGCCAATGGAGAACTCCCAACATGCTCATCACTCTTCCCAGAATGAACTGGGGCAATGAAACTGGTTTAAAAGTGTATAGTGTATATATATTCTAACGGTGCCTTTTCCTTCTTATCCCAGGATTACTGGGATCAACAGAGGCTTCTCTGAAATTCCACAGGAAAGGAAGAAGGATTGTGTCAACTACATTGTTTCTTTCCTAACCCAGAAGTCTCAGACCACTGGTAAAGAACTGGGTTTTAGGGCAGACCTGTCAGGAGGAAAATAGGAGGCGTGAACAAACAGTGGTTCTCAGACTTTTTTTATCTGGGCCACCCTTTCCAAATAAAAATTTGCTCGTGCCACACCAGAAATTGTTATTGATAAGAACTACATTGGAAAACAAAAAGAAACGACTCCTAGCAGTGCTTGATTTATAACCTAGAACACAACTGCTTTATAACATGATCATAGGACATTCAGAAAGTATAAAACAATGCAGCTACATAAGATGAATCATTCCCAAAGTATAATTTTAAATGAGCCTCTTACATGTGTACCTGAAGTATGTCTACAAACTCAGTGAGAGGTGTGAGCTTCCTTTTGCCAGGTAATTTATATTAGATCTAATCTGAGACAAACATACTCTCTAGCCTCATCTCCTCATCAAGACAAAGAAGCCTTTTTCTCTTCTGATCTTTCGTATTTGTCAGAGTTGAAAATCCCTGTTCACAACATGGGGAACTGTAGAATAGCCAATGTTTGCACAGTGATTCTGGATGACAGCTATGATTGTCCTCAGTATCACTTGCTGCTCTTGCTCTCATTTTGAAAGGATATCTATCCATATTCTGCAAATAAAAACATTGTTTTTTGATGCTGTACTACACTACACTACACTACACTACACTACACTACAATACACTACACTACACTACACTACACTACACTACACTACACTGAAATGTTTGAATGTTTCCTGGATTGACTTTGAATCTTCATGCTGCTCTTCCGATCCTCTTGTGCCACACCAGTGTGGTGTGCCACACTTTTTGAGAACCGCTGAGCTAAAACAAAGGGATTACAGTGGTACCTTGGGTTACAAACACCTCGAGTTACAAACACTTCGGGTTACAGACTTCACTAACCCAGAAGTAGTACCTCGGGTTAAGAACTTTACCTCAGGATGAGAACAGAAATTGTGCCGCGGTGGCAGCAGGAGGCCCCCATTAGCTAAAGTGGTACCTCAGGTTAAGAATGATTTCAGGTTAAGAACGAACCTCTGGAATGAATTAGTTACATAACCAGAGGTACCACTGTATTTGGAATGCACAGGCCTTAGCTTTTCATTTTTTCATTTCTATACTGCAAATGCATGTGGAAATATATTTACGCAGCATATAAAATCTAAAGTTAAAAATAATGATAATTCAATTAAAGTCAAATACATAAAATGTTTAGGCTAACTTGCCAGAATTTAGTCCTGAAACCTATTTTTGATGCGAGTTATGTGGGTCTTTCGAATCCTAAGTGTGTGTATGTTGGAGAGGGGAACTAGTGTTCTCTCTCCATCAGCAAAATGTATCGGGCCGGCCCTGACATTCTCCCACTGGGCAGATAAGTAATGACTTTTGCTTCCGTTTCTTCCTTCCAGGTCCTGCCTGCTTTGGCCAAACCACACCCAGAAATTGGCTACTCACCTACTTTGGGCAATTCTATACGGAAGTACCATATGTTCAGCTGGTTTCATACTATCGCCAAACATTTGATGCTGTAAGTTAGTGCTTGCAAACCAGTGGGCACATTGGAAATGTTGAGAAAGTGATGTGGGCGCTAGTCACAAAATGGCTGCCAAGTGGCATTGTGTGATGGGTGCAACATCTAAAATCTGAAAATGCTTCCCCCCTTTTGGTGGAGGTGGGGGAAAGCACCTTTGTCAACCGGAGCTGTGCTAGCATTCACAGAACGAAGCGCTTTGAACCTCTCTACTATTGGGAACAGATGGGAGGGAGAATGTCCAATCCTGGCATTCAGGGGCATGGGAGCATGTTCAAGGGGTGTATTCACTGTGGGAGATGCTGAGACAGTGCAAGCAGGAAGTGAGCAGAAAGAGCAAACAGTACCCTCTGACATCCTGACATTCTTATTTCCAGTATGCAGTATTGGATCTTTTAACTCCGATCCAGATTGGAGACATGATGGTACATTCAAACACCCTGACCAGCATGGATTTGGCATTGCGCCTTGTCAACTTCTTCCAAGAAAGCAGCGTTGACTTTGTCCAGATGATTCTGAAGCAATTCACCAGGGCTGCAATTCAGGTATTTCCCTTGAAACTCTTGTAGAATAATTGGAAAGGGTCCAACGGTCATTGAGTCCAACCCCTTGCAAAGCAAGGAATCACAGTTGAAGTTATTGTGATTATTGTTAAATCTCTATCCCACCATTCCTTCCAAAGAATCCCAAGGCAGTAAACAACAATGCTGTGGAGGGATTTGCAAGCAAGTGAGTGAGGTGTAGAGGGAGGGGGAGTCAGGGGTGGTGGCTGGGCAAACAGGTAGCCAGGGCTGGCAAGGGGAATGACAGGAGCGATAGCCCCTAGTACTATAAATTGCCAAGTGATGCTGTTGCCTTGGGTTCTGACTGTTAACTCACCAACTCTAGCAAAACAATCAACTCTTAAAAACACATGGGAACCTAGTTAAACAGTTAAGTTCAAATTAGGTATCCTGTCTACAATTAGGGACATTGGAAAAATATATACAGTGGTACCTTGGTTCTCAAACGCCTTGGTACTCAAACAACTTGGAACCCAAGTTTGCAAACTTTTTTTGGAAGCCAAACATGCTCCGTTTTGAGTTGCACACTTTCGTTTTGAGTGCTGCGCTGAGGTCTGTCTGTTTTTGCTATTTATTTTGTGTTTTTGTTTTTGTGGCTCTTTTTTTGTTACTGTGTGCAACCCAGTTCAGCTACTGATTGCAGTACATTGTTCATTCCTTTCATTATATGGATCAGTGGTCTTGTTAGATAGTAAAATTCATGTTAAAATTGTTGATTTAGGGGCTGTTTTTAAAAGTCTGGAACGGATTAATTCGTTTTGCATTACTTTCTATGGGAAAGCGTGTCTTGGTTTTGGAACGCTTTTGGCTTTGGAACGGACTTCCGGAATGGTTTAAGTATGAGAATCAAGGTACCACTGTATAGAGGATTTTGTGCTTTTCATTTAGAAACTGATTCCTTGGAGGTGTCTTTGTTTAATCCTTCTGCAGCACAAGATGACGGTCCTCCCAAACACCGAAGTTGCGCAGTTGCTCTTGACAAATTACCTGACCCTCGCCTCTTCTCAAATGGAAACCTACACAGCAGCAGACTGGAACGCCACTTTTCAGGGGGAACTGCGCTTCCTCTGCTCTGTGGTCAATGCAACAACCCTTGCTTACTTTGCCCCCCAAAACTACAACTCCTTTACCGCCATGTAAGTCTCGACATGAGTTCACTGGCCGCTAGAGGATGAGGGAGGGATTTTGTTTGGTCCATTTCTCGCTGTGGGCTGAGCCATTTCCAATGCTCATAGAATCTCATAGAAGAATCTTATAGAATCTCATAGAACTCTAGAGCTGGAATCCTGCCCACAGCCGTCACGGGTTATCATTTATTATTTCTATGATCCCTGTTTATAAAAGCCCAATAAAAAGTTATTGAAAAAAATAAATTTAAAAAGGAAGGAAAGGAAGGTATTGCGGATGTGCCAGTGTGGATAGCTGTTTAAACCATAGTTTAACATGATGAGCACAATGTGGAATGTAGCTTGGCAAGCGATAGGTTTGTGGACTCAGCCCTCCTCTTCCCCACATGGCTAAGAGGAGGTGTTTGGAAATTTTTATTTGCAGTTTTGTTTAGTACAGCTTGTTTCATCCGAACTGACTAACTGGTTAATAGCGATGGTTTATTTCAAGCAAGTTGACTTGAAGCCATGATTGAAGTTCCCCTTGACTCCAGCGGAAACTTTCCCCCTAATTCTAAGAGCAGATACAACCTCCAGATCAGAACCACAGCAGGAATTTTGTCACATTAGATAGCTCCTATCTCCTAGACTTGTGCGCAGATTGGAACATGACTCCCAGTGAAAAAGAGGCACTTCTCCGGATTTTGTAATGTGGGCAAAATTGTGCATGGGGAAGCATGTGTTTTATGTGAATGATAGGTACAAAATGTACATTTTACTGGTGAATGCTTTCAAAAGCATTGAAATGTGTGTATATTATGAAAATGGCACACATAAAACGCATACAAAATGCATTTAATATGAAATGGGAAGAAATGGCTTATAAGGGGACAGAACAGGATGACATCACACAGAAGGGGGATGGAATGAGATGGAATAGCTGGTCATACTCTTGAGGCATATACCATGTGCAAGCGGATAAGTGTGCCCCAGAATCCCTTGCAACATTCCACAGGATGGCAAGCTCTTAGCAACTGTATATGTGTGTCTGTGTGTCGGTTCATCATCTTTGCTATTTGCATCATGACAGTGTTGCTGGGCTTAGTGGAGCACATTCCCAAATGGCAGAACCCTTCAGGAGAGCTGTCGTATTGTGGATCATCCAGAACCTCAAAGACCTAAAAGGTAACATGACCAAAGAAGCCATGGGGAACATGTAGAGCAATCCCGGAGCCCCAGATACTGTACTTAAAATGTTCCCTGACAAATACCAGTGGCTTCTAGCATAATGAAAGGCTCAAATATTTCCTGTGTCCTCTTATTACCCATTCAGAAAAGCCCAGTGAACCATTTGCTGAGTGGATCAAGTTAGCCTGGGGCTCGTTCTTCAAGGACGCCACCTTGGGAGAAGTGGAATCCATCAAGGAAGACTTCGATCCTGTAGGTTTGCTTTCTTGATGACCAGCAAATTTTGAAAATTTTGACGATTCTTCTTTTCTTGTATATGCTCCTTATTGTATATGCTGCTTATCTGAGAGGTTTACAAAATATAAAACAAATTTGTACCCCAAATTGTGTCCCAGTAGCCTGAGCTGTTCCCCCACCATAAGATATTACAAAACTAATTTTAATTAAATAAATATAAATTAACCCCTTCCCTTTTTGACCAGTATTTTAGGATTCAGATTATATTTCCTTAAAGCAAAATAAATTCTACAAACAGGATTATAAATCTTAAGTTTATATTTGATCTATTTCCCCCCTTTACAGCATTCATTGTTTTTATAGCCTATAATTAAAGCAAACCCCTCCCTCCATTAATTAGTCCCACATTTAGTTTTTCTTAATTCATCTAATCCTTCTTCAATTGATCCTATTTTCCTTTGAAAAGACTGAACCATTTCATATGTCAAGTTATCTGTATGGAAAGCTGATTGTTTGCCCATCTCGCTCAGTGTTGTCTACTCTGATTGGCAGCAGCTCTCTAGGGTCTCAGATTGATGTCTTTCCCATCATTTCCTACTGAGTTTTTTTAAATGGGTGCTGAGGATTGAATCTGGGACCTTCTGCATTCAAAGAGCTAAAGTGCACCCCTAATCATTAGGGTTGCACAAAAATGGGCTGTCCCTTATTGGTATATCAACATAAATTGTATGTTATCCCTATCTATTTTTGTAATTGAGTGAAAAACTATGATTGAGTAGTGTCTATGTTTTCTAGTTTGCCGTCTTGAACACCCTGAGCACTGAACAGCTGGTAGACGTCATCACGACCTCGGACGCTCTGGTCAATGTGACAACCCTGAGGCAGGTTCTGTTGAGCCTAGAGACTGGCCGCTCTGAAATCCCACTTGCAAAGATGGATGTGTTCTTGACAAGGCTCAATTTCATCCTTGAACAGGTAAGTTCCAAATAAACCATCAACTTCCAGCCCCTCCAGTGCGAAGCAAACATCCAGGAAGCTTCAGGGGAAAAAATAAGAGTTTTGCTCAGATCAGCGACATTCCTTGGGGTGGTGTTGGTAATATTTTTGCTCTGCAAATGCCCTCCAATCTGGTGTGTAGATTTGAAGTGGCCTAAATCATCCTTTCCCTTCAGAACCTTTCCTCCCCTTTTTGCAGAAGAACATCCCGGGTATCAGAAATGCCGAGGTGAGGTTGGAACTGCTCAGCACCATTTTCAGAAACCTGGCCCGCCATTTCCGTAAATTCACTGCTTTGGACTACCAGAACTGGTTCACCACGAAGCTGAAACTCCTTTTGCCCAGCATCAATGGGAACCTGCTCCAGCTGATTCCTCTCGATGTCAGCTTCGCCTCCTTTCGCGCCATGTAGGTGTCACCTTTCATTACTTGTCCACATCAATTGCAAGTGGCCCCTTTTGATCAATCAGCTTCAGATTTTGTTGGTCAATCTGCTTCTCATATAATGTTAGAATTGGAGTAGAGTCGAATGGTAGAAACTGGATGTTGGACGATTCAGGACAAACTAAAGAAAACAATTCTTAACACAGTGCATACATAAACTATGGAACTCACTCCTGCAAGCAGGCCCAGATTAAGGTGGTTGCCAGAATAGGAACCCTCCAATTCTTCCCCAAAAGGAATGCATTAAATTAGGTGCCAGAAAATACATCACAAAGTCTAACAAATTTTGCATAAGACTAAAATAAAAATAAATAAATACTCTGAAAACATGCAATTTCACAACTGTCAGAAAAGCACAAACAAAAAAGCATTTCACCAGACTTAATAAACACACAAAAAGCATGTGCATTTTCATATTTGAAACTCACTTCCCATTGCTTTTGCTCGCTTCCTAATGGGTCAGTTATCAACTCTTAGCCTAACTTACTTCACATGGTTGTTGGAGAAGATATAGTGCCTTGTATTACCTATTTATGGCAGATAGCTTTATCTCTTTAAACTCCAGTTGTCTGGTATTTACTTCTTTTCATTTCTCTCCTGTTCATTTGCAGATTTGGAGGTTTCGATCAGGTCTTCCCAGAGTTACCCGAGGAGGCATCCATCCAGATCTACAATTTGATGAAGAGAATAATGCAATTCCAAATCAATGCCTCAGGTACCTGCTTCATGGAATTTAGGGGTGGCAGTGCCTGCTGTGTCATGGCTGGCTTGGGATGGGGTGAAAGGTAAATTGTTCATGCATGTTGAAGGTGTTGCTCTGGCAGATGAGTGGTCTGCTAAGTGTGGTGAAGACTATCTGTATAAATGAATATTTCTGTGTTTTCATTTTGCAAATTTCTGATTTTTAGGGACAGCATTCCCTGGTGCTTACAGCAACAGCCAGAGCTTCCTGCAACTCCTCTTTTACAGATTTGTGCGTTTTGTGCCTTACGCTGACTTAGCCCTCTTATATCCGAATTTTAACGGGGTAAGTGAATATTCAGGATGAATTTACATATTCCCAGAAATGAATTGCTGCTTGATGGTTAAATCAGATAGATAGGTTGTGTTCTAAAAACTCCATTTTCCTTCATTCTTAAAAATAGGTGTCTGTTTTTTTTTAAAAAAATGGTTGATTGGTTTCACTTGACTTTCTTGTAGTTCATGACAATAGCGTTCATGGCACTAAGCTAGAATTAGGTTTCTTTATAAAAATGCCGACTGAAGAATATGCCTGTCCTTGCTCAACCAAAGCTAAATTTATTGGATGTCTGCTGAATCTGTTTCTCCATGAATTTTCTCCCTGCCAGTTTGAAGCCCTCTCTGCCCTGACTCCAAAGCAAATGGGCGCAATGATGGTTTTTACGAACGCATTCAGAAATGAGCGCCTTGCTGTCCAGATCTTGGCGGAATTAGAGAAGCGCCCCCCTGAGGAAATGAGGGACTTCACAGCTGAGTTCAATGCTGCGGTAAACCAGGTAATTGTGCTGCACTTTCACCTGGACTGGAAAGTATCATTTTCTAACTTGCGCCAATTTTTTTCTCCTCCTTCCTCCAATCATTTTGCACAGTCAACACTGAACAATTGCTCTTTCCACAAAATTCATTCTCCCTGCACTCTTGAACTTGAGGAAGGTTGTAGCTTTGTGGCAGAAGATATGTGCAATGAGTCGTGGGGCCCTTCCCTGGCTGGGAAGTAAAAAAAATTGTGGAAGTATTGTGGTGAAATTTGGGGCTGTATACCAGCATACAGTTCTTTGCTGCCATTTTCATGGGGGGGGAACATAGTGGTATAGCAGCGAAAAAGCCACACTGTCCCATAACACAACAGTCACTGCAGTGTGGAAGGAATGTTAGAAAGCAAGACAGAAGCAGTGACAGTGTAATCAAGAAAACCAGAATTTCCCCCATGTTTGAATGCACTCTCAGCATAGACAAGATGGCCTAATGGTCTGACTCAGTCTCTCTCTCTCTCTCTCTCTCTCTCTCTCTGTCTCATTAATTCAGTTTTACGTTGTACAGTTAAATTCAAACAACAGTCATAATCATCAACATTTAGGATTCATTGAATCCTTAGACCTCCTCCCCCTTCCATGGTTTCCATTGTCAAACTTCATCTACCGCATCATATAATTTCCCATATTTCTTAACTCAATCCATTTTTATCTTAGTTTTTAGTACATTATAAGTGTTGCTAAAATCCTGCCAAAGTTTTTAGTTGTTTACAGTGTTTATAAATTTTCCCCATTCCTTATTAAATGTTCCTTCTTCCTGGTTTCTGTTCTTCCCGGTCATTTTCGCCATTTCAGCGTAGTCTGTCATCTTTATCGACCATTTGTCTCTGGTCAGGACTTTATCTTCCTTCCAACTCTTGACTCAGTGTCAGACTGCTTCCTGTGTTCCTGTGAGCAGGGCACACAGGAGGACTCCTGCCAGATTAGTCTCCCCCAAGCTTGTGCCCTTCAAAAGTTTTGGATGATGAATTTCCTCAGTCTTGGCCATCATTGGAGGGACTGGTTTGGGGGAGATCACACTATGCTTAGAATTCATCACATTGTATTTAATCTATGAGCTAGTTTTACAGGCGGACGGCCTCATAAAGAGTTCCACTGCAAACTCCCATTGAAAAGCTAGAATCTCCTCACATCGAGATTTGGATTTTGCTGGACAAACCACCACCCGCTAATCTTGGAACTCTACCTGTCCATTTCCCTTGCAGAGGCAGCTGCTCGTCCTCCCAGACCTCCGGATCCGTAACTTGATCTTTGAAATGGTCTTCAAGACACTCAAGTTCAGCACCTTTTCTGCAGAGCAATACTCATTCTGGTTTGGCACTCAGCTCCAATTCCTTCTGCCATCTCTCAAACCAAAGGACCTGCTGCTGATTCCCCTTGATATTGACTGCCAGTCTCACCAAAATTTGTAAGTCTGGGAAAACACCCATGTCTTTTTAGCCTTATCAGGGTAGGGACAGTGGAGGAATTGGATTCAGTTCTCATTTAAAGAAATTTTAAGTTTTCACTTTCTGCAACAATGCAAAGCACAGCTGTCCTTTGAAATTTACACTTCTCTGAATTTTGTAGTGCCATTCTCTAGCTAGGTAAAGTGTACAAAGAATGCCTATACTAGGGTAAAGTGTGCATTTCAGAATGCATGTATTAGTGAAGTCAGATGCAAAAATTTCTTTTATTTGACATAACTGTTTTGCAAAAAATGTGTCTATTGGGCAAAACAGCATGCAGAAAATGTATGTTGGAGAAATTTGCACTGAAATGCTGATGATTTTCACGAGGGCCTCTTTAAAAAAAAATTGCAAATGATGTGGCAATGTGTAGAATGGAATTTAAGAATTGGAAAAATGAGAAATGAGGAATCATCAATCCCTACGTCCAGATGGTGCTTGATAGCTTGGTCCACCTTTATGTCCTATCCTGTTTGTCTTTCTAAAAGGGCATGAACTACGCTGGAGAGTTGGGACCCCATTTGATACAAGCCCTTCACTATCTTTGTCTTCCTCAGGGTGCGAGCGATGGACAAGGTGTTCGATCGTTTCACGGAGGGGCAGAAGAAGGCCATTCATGGGAGGATATTCAGCTACCTGGAATCTTATCAGGCAGATCAAGGTATCAGAAGTCGGGCTCTTTGTTTTTGGAACTTAAGAACATGATCCCAACCGGGTGGCCTACTGGATTAGACCAGTAGTTCCCAAACTTTTTTGGGCCAGTGCCTTCTACACTACCCTATAAAAGGCATTATTCAGAATAGTGGTTTGCATGACCCACTAAGGAAGATAATAACACAATGAAATTCAAAACGCTAACAGTTAATTGCACACTTATTCAAAATCCAATGAAAACTATTTAATTTAATTCATTCAACAAAACAGATGAACTTGTGAACCCAGCTTTTCAAAGTCTGATACCCATTTACATCTCCAGTGCCCCCTGGTGTCCCCTTGCCTCTTAGCAACCCACTAGGTAACCCCACCACCCCACAAGGGGCAGTACCACCCACTTGGTTAAACGCTGGATTAAACCAAAGGCTTATCTTGCTCTGTGGAATTCAATAAAATACAAGAAATGAGAAACAAGAAGAAGCAATAAAAATATAATTAAAAACTGTACTGCATCTAGCACAGCACATTACAACTGATACTACAGAAGCAATCCATGGCAGAAAAAGTTGGAAGCCACTGTTCTAGCTCAAGAACTAAAATTCTTTGCAGGATGCTGCCCCCCCTCCCCCAAACTGTATGCAGCTTCACTCCGACGGTCCTTATTCTTCTGCTTTTCTAGGAGAATTCAGGTTTGCTTGCCCAGTGATCAAAACTCTTTCTTCTCTTGCAGGGGTCACATGCTCTCCCAACACTAACAGCAGCCAATGGATCCTCAGCAACTATGGCCAATTCAGTGCCTTTGCCAGCATTGCAGAGTTTTTGGCAGTGAATGTGAACTTTAATGGGGTAAGAGAACCTTTGTCAGTAGGGGTTGTGCTGGGGGAAGTGGAAGATTGTAAGCCCTTGAAGTGGGGGCAACTTGGAGGGACCAGTCCTTGGAGAGCGGTGCAACTTCCCCTTAGAATGATGCCTAGGTTCTAAACTCCACTGCCAGAGGTAGCAGGTCTCTGAGTACTAGTCACTGGGAATCCCAGGTGGGGAGAGTGCTCAGGTCCTGCTTCCCATTGGGATGTTTAGTTGGCCATAGTGGACAGAGAATGCTGGACTAGGCAGGCCTTTAGTCTGATCCAGAAGGCTCTTCTAATATGCTTATGATGTTGGGCTAGAGACCCAGCCTGGAGAGCCACAGATTCCCAGGTACACAACATTCTGTTGTGTACCAAGTCACAGAACCTAGGTCTTGCCCATCAGAAGGTCAGCGGTTCGAATCCCCATGACAGGGTGAGCTCCCGTTGCTCGGTCCCTGCTCCTGCCAACCTAGCAGTTCGAAAGCACGTCAAAGTGCAAGTAGATAAATAGGTACCACTCCGGCGGGAAGGTAAACGGTATTTCTGTGCACTGCTCTGGTTCGCCAGAAGCGGCTTAGTCATGCTGGCCACATGACCCGGAAGCTGTACGCCGGCTCCCTCAGCCAATAAAGTGAGATGAGCGCCGCAACCCCAGAGTCGGCCACAACTGGACCTAATGGTCAGGGGTCCCATTACCTTTACTATTGGTTGCAACTGTACATGAGCAGGAAAATGTGCACCTTTTCAGATTTCGGCAATGGCAGAGCTATCTGCAAACCAGCTGGCTGAGTTGGCGGTGGAATCGGGAGCGCTGGCTGATGGGAGTGGCATCATGGAGATCATGGGCAACTTGAAGACCGTGGAAGACCTTGCTAGATTCTTGGGCAAGCTGAACACCATTGCCCCGGTATGTGGCTGCTCTCTGGGAGTTTGGGGGGCTATTTATTTATTTCATAAAATTCATATACTGCTTGATTGTGTGTTTTTTTAAAAATTCTGCACCAAAGTGTTTTACGGAAAGAATAATATAATAAAATTATCAGTTAAAAGCCATTAAGAACAGCCATTAGAAACCTTTGGAAAACAATTAAAATCAAAACAATTAAAAGCCATTAAGAACAGCCATTAGAAACCTTTGGAAAACAATTAAAATCAATGATAAGATGAAAACCAGATTAAAAATATATGTCAACATTCTGCATGTCTGGGTAGACTTGTCTAAACAAATTTTTTTTTAGCGGGCACTGAAAATAGTACTGCGATTTGTCAATAATTAGAGAGTTTCCAAGTGTAGGTGCTGCCACACTAAAAAATTGATTTCTTACAAATGCTGAATGTGTTATGTGACACTTGTCACAGTGCGAGTTCCACAGATTGGACATATATGGGGTAAGGGGATGTCAAAGATTATACACAGATTTGACTATCTTATGACTGCACATAGCGTGTTGCCTTGTGGTACACCGTAAGCCTGATTTCTTACTAGAGCAGCTTTCCTCACCCTGGTGCCCTTTGTAGATGTTTTGGACTACAACTCCCATCAGCCCAAATCAGCGAGTATTGTGGTCATGGCAGGATGTAGCATTTGAATAAGTAGTAGAAGCATACCTGGTACTTCACTGAATGACATAGCAACAGAAGACAGGTGCCTCCCTCAAGGAGATCACAATGTAGACTAAATTTTAGTGGCAAGCTAAGGGCAGGGGAGGAAAGAGACAGGCTAAGGATTGCAACAGATCCATGTGAGGAAATGTTCCACAAATTTACACTTCATTTCAGTTGGCAATATGGACTAGGAGATTAAACCAAAGGATCTGGAGGAAGAGTAGGTTGCAAGAAGGGCCTTGAAGGAAATGAGATGGAGACACCACCTCACTTTGGGGGTGGGGTGGGGTTCCAGGAGCACCAGAGCATGTGCAGAGTTGTTTAATGAATACTGGGTGGTGATTTCTGTTCACAGATGGAATTGCAAAGCAGTTCATATGCCGGTTCCATCTTGAGCATTGCCTTCCAAAGGATAGTGATCAACTTCCCGAAGTTCAAAGCCAGTGATTTTGCCTACTGGTTCCAAGTTATCTTCCAGAACGTTCTGCATGAGTTCAACGAGACCCTTGTGGTGGACATTCCGCTCAAGATATCGTGTGACTCCTACCAGAAAATGTGAGTGTGTTGCGTCGCATGGAAATGAATTCTCACCTCAAACCTGCACCTGCTTATCAGGCAAACAAAGGCAATAACAGACTGTTGGCACAAAAATAAATAAATTGCTAGCCATGTCAGTCGCACCAAAAGAGAAGTATTGGGGTGATGGCAGGAAGGGAAGCCACCCAACACTTCAGTAGGAAGTGAGCAAATGAGGATGACTTAGAAAGATGACCCAAATTAGTATCAGCAATTTTCTAGGGTCAGATGACACTTAATTGTTGGTTCCCTTGTGTCAAGCACTGAAGCCACCTGGGCTGAAAACTACCTCCTTGCTAGCTGCAGTGCTGTTGTGCAGTGAGGTGACAGGGTGGCCCAGGAAACAAGGTGGCCAAGTCACTACTACAACTCCCCTCCATAAGATTGAGTGAGATGCTTACAGGCTAAGATGAAATCTTATCTGTAAAGCACATCTTTCCATCTGTGAGTGCAAAGACAGCACCACTCTAAGGCCAAAATGGACAAGAAAAGAAAAGAAAAAAGCTTGTTCCATCGTGTGCACCCAGAATAACCTGGGGAGGAGTTCTGTGCCGGTGAAAAGCTTGCCTAGTGGTTAGAGTATTGGCTGGGTTTGCCATTGAGAAGACATCTAGTTCTGGCTAACCGTGACATTGTCTGCCCCTTTTGCTTCCCAGATTGAAAGGTTTCAACAATGTTTTCGCCAACATCCTGCCTGGAAAGGCCCTCAGTGTATTTGGATTCAGCAAAACTTTTTTGACTACAAAAATCAAATCAGGTAACACAAGCCCTTTTAAAAAAATCTACCTACCTATCTGAATAAATCAGGGCTGTTGCTTCATGAATGGCGAGAAGCTGTTGTCGGTTGCCATTCTGAGTTCCTTGTGTCCCGGAGCTGAAGCCTGGATACACGGGGCGAGGCAGCGGTGCGGCAGGTGGCGGTGCTGCGGTGCTGTGTGTGGCAGTCAGCTCAGCGGGATCCCACCTTCGTCGCCAGTGAAATATACTCAGAGTCGCAAAGTGATTTCATGCTCTTTATTCAGCTCATAGTGGTGAGGAGGAATGAATGAATGTCCCCTCAGTATCTGCTTTATATACATTATTTACACAATGGGCTGCACATGATTGGCTAATTCCGGAATTCTACTGTAAGCCAATCAGGTTGTGGATTCACTTCTATCTGGAGCATGATTGGGTAGTTCCTGCCAACCAATCATACTGCTGCATTGTTCTAGGACCATGAAATAGATAACAATCATATTCAACTAATAATGGGATTTAATAGATCCATTCTTTAGTTAATCACATCTGAATGAATGTGCATATTGCTGAAGTCATAGGGGAAGCATTCCCCCCATTCTTTTGAGGTGGTGGGTCTATGTGTGGAAACCAGATGCCATTGCAGAAGAGGTTTTCTCCTGTGCAAGAGAGGTAGAGAAGGTTCCTGCCACTTGTGGGTTTGGAAGGTGAGAGCAAGAGAACGCAAGGAGAATCCTGCAGGATCAGGCCAAAGGCTTATCTAGTCCAGCATCTTGTCCTCACAGTGGCCAGGCAGATTCTTCTTCTGGGAAGCCTTCTTCTGGGACACACTCCCTCCAGTTGGGATTCCCAGCATTTTGGTACCCAAAAGGCATCCTGCCTCTCACAGTGAACATAGCCATTGTGACTAGTAGCCATTGATAACCTTCTCCTCCTTCGTGGATTTGCCCCATCCTCTTTTAAAGCCACACAAGTTGGTGGCCACCACTGTCTCCTGTGGGAGTGAGTTCCATAGTTTAACTATGCACTGTGGAAAGCGATTCTTTCTTTTGTCAGTCCTGAATCTTCCAGTCCAGCTTCATTGACAAATACAGGTGAAGCTGGAATGGTTAGGATTTTTATAAAAGCCTTTCTCTATAACTGCACCCAGACTGCGGAACTCCCTTCCTTCATGAGGTCTGCATGGTCCTTCGGTGTCAGTCTTCTGCCACTGAGCTGAAACCTTTTAAGAATTTCTATTTTATTTAGATATTTGCCAATTTAGCATTCTTAATAGCTGGTTCTACTGTTGTTGTTTTTTTACTCTGTTGGGAAGATGCCGCCACGTATTGAGTCAGACCATTTGTCCATCTAGCTCAGTATTGTCTACACTGGCCAGCAGCTGCTTTCCGGGGTTTCAGGCAAGGGACTCTCTCCTTGCCCTACCTGGAGATGCCAGAGATACAAAGCAGATGTCCTACCACTGAGCTGTGACACTTCCTAGTTCTCATTCCAATTATGTAATTTGCGTTATGATATATTGTTGTTTCAAAGTGTGAAAGGTGCCTTGCATGTGGTTTTCAGGGCAGGATGTAAATTTCCTAAAATCAAAAGACAAATAAATATGTGCTCTAATCATGATTGACAGGGTGCCGTTGGTTTTTAAGTCTGCTGCACAAAAGCTCTTTAATCAATTAGTTCACTGGCCAAGCACTGTAGCTCTGATAGTCGTTTATGTAAGGCTCTAGGTGAGGCTGGGAATGCAAAGAGCCTTTGTCTTTTTGCCATGCTTGGCTTAGCAGCGTAAAGTAAAACCAAGCCCTTGTTTTGTACACTTTTCTTTAGGGATGGGCCCTGAAGACGTCCTTGGACTCCAGCTCTCATCAGCCCCAGCCAGTGCGGCCAGTGGGTGACGGGCAATGGGAGTTGGAGTCCAGCAACATCTGGAGGGATTTTGGTTCCCCCTCGCAGCTTTTCTGCTTGCCTACAATTAATACAATTACATCTTGGGGCAGATTCACACTGAAGGCGCATGACTTCCCCCAAGAAGCCTGGAAACTGTAGTTTATTAAGAATACTGGAAACTGTAGCTCTGTGCAGATGAAACTTGAGTCCCCAGGGTTCTTCGGGGCAAGCTATGTGCTTGGGTGTGCTTTAAAAGTGTGGTGTGGATCTGCCCCTGGTTGACTGGTTGGGAATGGGGGCTGAGTTTCCTTCTGTACTTGAGTTTTGCATCACTGTCATCATGCTCAATTGCAGCCTTAGCCTGGCACCCTCTGGGTGTTTTGGACTACAACTCCCATCAGCCCCAGCTGGCATGCTGTATGATGCTGGGGCTGATGGGAGATGTAGTTCATCTAGAGGTAGGAACTAGGGAAAAATAGGTTCTGTTCGCATTTTAATGAGAATCTGCCTACTTTACACTTACTAAACCAATATTATTATTTATTAAATTTGTTACTCTGTCTTGCCCAAGGGAACGCAAAGAGACTTACCAATATGCCATCTGAAACATAGCTATTCTTCAAAATTTGCGCTTCTCCAGACTTTTGATGTAGTTCTCCAGCCAAATAGTGTGTACAAAAATGCATCTATAACACACCCATAAAATGCATAGATTAGTGAAAATAACATTGCTTTAAATATGTGTATATTAGCCAAGACCCCATACAAAAAAATGTGCCCATCAGGAGAAATTTGTACCAAAATGTTGATCAATTTTCATGAGAGTTTTTTTTTTTTTTAATCACAAATGTCTTGGGAAATATGTGGACTTTAAGATCTGATAAACGAGAAATTTGTTCCTCCCTCACTGAGTGGCATCAGGTTTGTAAAGGCTGCTGCAAATGGTTCATGGGAATGAACAGCTTCTCGCTCCTTCCAGGCATTGCATGTGGAAGGCCCGCTCAGAGCGTCCAGGAGTGGCTGGAAATCAATCTTGGGAACTTCAGCCGATACGCCCAATACCAGGACCTGCTCAGCTGGAATTTGCATTTTGACGGCGTGAGTATTTTATATCCAGGATCTGTTGGCATGGGACCTATCAGGCTTTTTCACGGTAACATTTCTTGCAAACGAGTGAAGTAATTTATGGCCAAAGCAACTTAGCAGATGGTTAGAGATTAGCCAGTTTGGGATCCCCTGCTTAGCCTTTTGTGGTTAGGAGAAAGAAGCTTCCAGCCACGCATGTAGATGTCTTCATGTGGTTCTTTCACTCGATAGAGAGGAAATCCCCTCAGAAATGTACTTGCTGTTTTAGCAAGTCCAATTGTTCCCAGTCAGCGATGGTTGAAGTGGCATTTTTCAACCTGAGGAAATTTTCGTGGTAAACCTTCTGAGGGCTGCATGCCACTGGTGGTCGGGGCCAGAGGCAAAAACTGTGTGGACTGATGGACATGGCTCTTACTTCTGTGCAGCCAATCAAAAGCCAGAGAGTTCTATACCCCGCCTTTCCACCTTCCATCACGGCACGTAAGAGGCGGAATTGCAATTCAAGGATACATTCCAGCCAAGCAAACACACTGGAGTGGGGCCACAGAGCAGGGGCAGTAGGGGGCATAGTCTAGGGAGGAAGTGTGGCTTAGCAAGAGTCCCGAGGGCCACATAGGGAAGCTTGAAGGGCCACATTGCCCCCTCTTGGGCCTTAAATTGCCCACCCAAGATCTAAATCAGGACTTTCTAAACTTGGGTCTCCAGCTGCTTTTGGACTATAATTCCCATCATCCCTGACCACTGGTCCTGCTAGCTAGGGATGATGGGAGTTGTAGTCCAACAATAGCTGGAGACTCAAGTTTGGGAAACCCTGATCTAAATAGTCTAGGCAGTCCATTGTATCAGAGATAGGGAGCGTGAGGCCCTCTAGGGACTACAACTTCCATCACCCGTGACCATTGGCCATACTGGCAGGGGTTGATGGGAGCTGGTGTCTGACAACATCTGTAGGGCAACAAATGTTCCCCATCCTTGCCTTATATGGACTGACCTTTGGGCAGAAAGATGGTGCTTATTTATTTATTATTAAAACATTAAAACACATTGTTAAAGAGTAGTTCAAAACAGCTTGCAATCACAAAAATAAGGTGGATCCTAACAATGTGTACCTCGAGTGTCAAATGGCAGGGTAAAAGCATCCCAAGGATCATATAGGGAAAGATTTCTTAATTTCCCTGAAGCTTCCCCGCAACAACACACCATGCTAGTACCCAAATATGCTGATTCTCCAGAATAAATGGGCTGATACAATCCCAATTAATTTCGTTTGGGCTCCTTGCTCCCTCAATTCCCCAAACACACTCCCTGTCCATAACTCACACCTCTGCTCCTTGATGACACATGAGCAAAATCCTGACCTTCCCTAACAATGTTTGTGCACATTCTTTAGCTGACAATTTCCCGCTTGAGCAGTATTTTTTCTGATGTTCTCTAGTATCTCCTGCATTTTTTAAAAAATTGGGTGCCGACTCTAAACCAGAAACATAAGGAGTGCATATGTAGGCATCACAACTTATTACAGACTGCTTGAAAAATTCACCATCATTTGATTGATGCTCCCCTGCAGATGGCTGTTCTGCAATCTTTGTCTCCACTGCAACTTGCATCCCTCACTCTGAAGTCTGATGCCATCAATGAAGAGGAGAAGATGTGCCAGATTCTTGCAAGACTGCAGAACAAACCACTGGAAGAGATCTACCAGTATTTGGACCAATTCAACACAGATGCCGATAAGGTACGGCCTTCAAATATTTACTAAAGAAAAGCAAAACTCCAAATCAAGTTAGGTCTTTTTGCCAGCCAAACTGACTTTTCCGTTCCCTCACAGAACCCACATTGCTTGTATGCATTCTGTTGCTGAGATTTTTCACCTGATAAGTTAGAATGTTAATGAACCTTGCATCTATCCCTGCAGCTCAGCTGGGGGAAGATAAGCAGCAAATCACAGTCAATGGGATAGCCTCTCATTGCCCGTTATAGACAACAAAGTTAAGATAAATCCAAATAGTTAAGCAAAAGAGTTTGCTATTTTTTCCTTCTCTCTTTAAATTGTAGCTTGGAATAACGTCTCTCAAAGACGAAGGCATAAGGCAAAGGATGCTCTCTCATTTTGTGGAGGCGATTGGATCTGAACTCTCAACCTTCAGCGCTGCAAACTGGACTCATTTGCTGTCCACAAGGCTGCTGCTTTTCCTGCCAAGCGTCAGCGCAAAGGAATCCAAAGAGATGCTGTCTTATGTTTCCGGTTGCGATGCCTTCCAAGCTGTGTGAGTATAAACCGCCGTCGTTCTCTCTGTTACAAGTATTCAGAGGAGTGTGCCAACGTGTAAGTAACCAAAATGGTGAATCCCATGTGCAAGAGGGGCGTATCAGCAAATTTGGGGGAAGCACAGGATTCATGGAAGTACAACAACATACAGTGGTACCTTGGGTTACAGACACTTCAGGTTACAGACACTTCAGGTTACAGACTCCACTAACCCAGAAATAGTACTTCAGGATGAGAACAGAAATTGTGCTCTGGCGGCGCAGTGGCAGCGGGAGGCCCCATTAGCTAAAGTGGTACCTCAGGTTAAGAACAGTTTCAGGTTAAGAACGGACCTCCAGAACGAGTTAAGTTTTTAACCTGAGGTACCACTGTATAGGTTGCGGAGGGCAGGGGGACTAAATGAGGAAAAACCCTAAAGCAGCCCAATGAAGAATCAGCAAGGTTGGTCCATGAGGATATGCAGAGTACCACCTCACCAACCACAATCTGCCCCCAGCCAGCCACCATCTTCTTACTTACAACCAGTTAGGAGGGCAACACTGCCTATTAACTTCCTCCTCCTTAGTGTCAGTGTTGCCCTTCTAGAGGACTCAGTAGAGAAGAGGATGGGGACAGAACCAGAATGAGCTGTCTCTGCCTGTCCTTGGCTCTGTCGCCACCTACTGTTGGGCTCCCTGCCTTCCACCCCAGCAGTCCTCATCAGCACCAGCCACCACTGTTGACGACGCTCAATGGGATTCTGTCTGACTCTGCAAACCAGGGGGACTGGAATGGAGTATTGTGGAGGAGGGCTTGGCTGGCTTATTAAAACGCGGAACAGTTCACACTGCCAAATGGTCTCCTTTCTGGTGCACAGGCCAAATTCATTACTGGAAGCTTCTATCCAATGGAGTGGGAAACTGAATTAAAGGAGCAGGAAGGAGATTCATGTCTGGGAACCATGTCTGGAGAGAAAGAAGCAACCTATGGTTCAGCCTCCCCCGACCTGGTGCCCTTCAGATGGCTTGGACTACAACTCCTACCAGCCCGAATCAGCATAGCCAATGGTTGAGGATGACCATCATCCTTGACCACTGAGAACTAGTGATGCTGATGGGAGTTGTGCTTTCCAGATTCTTTGGACTACAAGGTTGGGGAAAGCTAGGTAAAGGTAAAGGTACCCCTGCCTGTACGGGCCAGTCTTGCCAGACTCTAGGGTTGTGCGCTCATCTCACTCTAGAGGCCGGGAGCCAGCGCTGTCCGCAGACACTTCCGGGTCACGTGGCCAGCGTGACAAAGCTGCATCTGGCGAGCCAGTGCAGCACACGGAACGTTGTTTACCTTCCTGCCAGTAAGCGGTCCCTATTTATCTACTTGCACCCGAAGGTGCTTTCGAACTGCTAGGTTGGCAGGCGCTGGGACCGAACGACGGGAGCGCACCCCGCCACGGGGATTCGAACCACCGACCTTTCGATCGGCAAGTCCTAGGTGCTGAGGCTTTAACCCACAGCGCCACCCGCGTCTGGGGAAAGCTAGACCATAGTTTTTATGAGTGTTGAAGATGTTGTGATAGATACATTGTGGATGGTGGTGGACATATTAACTATGAGCACTGCAGGAAGTCATCACTTGATGTTGCACTCCTTAGGTCAGGGGTAGGCAACCTAAGGCCCATGGGCCACAAGAGGCCCATAGGAGTCGTTTAACCGGCCCCCGAGCCGCCCCCTGATTCTGGCCTGTTCTTCTGCTCTTCTGCAGACATTTCTGACACAACCTTTTTTCTTCAGGGTGTCCTCGCTGAGCCAAGTTTACTCTGCAATACTACCAACCAACCAACTAGGCGTCTACAGGACCTTGTTTTCCTACCTTGACAACCAGCACAAGACCACAGGTAATTTGGTGGCACCATTTTAAGTTTGCAGTTCAGGGCCATGGATTGGAAGCGGGGAGAAAGCTGATCCAGTTGATTTCCATTTCAAGGCATATCTTCCTAATTTGGTGCCTTCATTACATATCTTTAGGAACCAGACAAACATGTTCCTCTTCAACAGGCCTTTGGGTAATTATATTGTAAACCACCTTGTGGTATTCAGATGAAGGGCGGTATAGAAATTTAATTATTATTAAATTCAAGGAAAATAGCAGGCAAAAATGCATTATATTTGGGAACATTGCTTTGCAAAAAAAAAGTGTATATTAGGCAGAATTACATACAACATTGTATATAGGGAAAAGTATTCTTCCATATATTGGATTTTTTTTTCTTAATTACAAACTGAAATGGGAATATGGAGAACTGAACTAAAGATTGGGAAAATGAAAAACTGAGGGAGACTGAAATCGGCAGATTCCTCCATCCCTAGCCATGGGCAACGTGTGACGCCAGGATGGTGGGGTCTAGGCACTTTAGAGAGCTGGTGAGGAACAGAAGTAGAGGCACGAGTCCCTGGGCATGGGGCCTGAGAGGGATCCAGCAGGGAGGTGGGCACCTAGGGGAGAATTCATTCCTCTTGAGTAGGAATAGAGAGATCAAACCCACCCAGTTTTGATTTCTTGGCCGAATGAGTTACCACCTGCAACTATGCCAATGAATCCCACATGGAGCTCTGTTCAGAAAGGCTTGTTTGTTTACCGACACTGCAGGATCGGCGTGTGCCTCCAACACCGGGGATTCCGAGGCATGGCTGCAAGATAACTTGGGGGCCTTCGCAGCCCAAGCTCCTTATGGCGATTTCACCACGCTGATGGCCACGTTCAATGGGGTACGTTGCAGAGGTTGCCTTGTGTTGATGCATAATGCCCACCCTGTGCTCCAGAACCCCACCCCCACCAAATGATTAGGAAGTCTATTTTGCATTAGGGGAAGAGGGCAGAGCAGTTGCTTTGCATGCAGAAGGTCCTTGGTTCAATCCCTAGTGCCTTCAAAGAGTGGCAGAGTGAGACTCCTGCTAGAGAAACCCTGGAGTTCTGCTGCCAGTCAGTGTAGACAATCCTGAGTGAGCTGGGTCAGTGAGAGGTCAGTTCTGCGAGTTTTCCACATTCCACACTTGCAAAAAGAATGATTCTTCATTTCAGGAGGGGTAGAAGTGAATATTCTGCACAACAGCCCAATTGAGGAGCTTCATCCCACACATGGGAGAAGGAAAAGGCTGCCTACCTTTCTCCCTCCCCAAATCTTCTAAAGCAGCCTTCCCTGATTGGGTACCCTCTAGGTGTCTTGGACTACAATTCCCATCAGCCTCAGCAAGCATGCTGGCTGGGGCTGATGGGAGTTGTAGTCCAAAACATCTGGAGGGCCCCAGATTGGGGAAGGGTTGAAGAAGTCTCTAAGTATATCCTCGGATGTGTGTTTTTACAGTTTGATGTCCGGGGCAACCTCACTGCCACCCAACTGGCTCATGTCTTTTTTGCCTCTGGCGCCCTGGATGATCCTGATAAAGTCAGCGCCCTTCTGGAACCTTTGGAGAACAAGCCTGTTGATGACACCCTTGCTTTTATGACAGAGTTTGCAGCCTTGGCTGCTCAGGTGAGTTGTCTTTTGTTAGCTTTGGTTTCTATCCATTTGATAAGATCCCTTTAATTTCTGGAGCTCTCCTGATGCTGCATCCTTCGCTGCTTCTCTTTGGGGACATCTGAGGCCCAGTGTGGTGTTGTGGTAAGAGTGTCGGACTAGGACCTGGGAGACCGGGGTTCAAACCCCCGCTTGGCCACGAAGCTCTGTCTCTCTGCCATTCTTCTCTCCAGCACAATCACATTCCTCTGTGCTACTCTGGCCATTTTGAAGGCTGGGGCCATGACCTGTTCCCTCTGTGTTTCTGGTTGGCAGAGCGGCATGACGTTCCTGGCAAACACGGAGGTGAGGGACAAGATATTTGATGTCATCTTCAGCGAATTACAGAGCCTGCTAACGACAGCTGGCACCTCCCAGTACGAAGACTGGTTCCAGAAAACATTGACCCTCGTGCTTCCCAGCATCAACGCCACAGCCCTGGCAGCCATTCCACAGAGCATCCCCTGCAGCACTTTCAAAGCCATGTGAGTCTTCAACCGTCTGCAGGTTTGCCAGGAGGGGGCAAAGGAACCAGTTTCCAGGCCCAATTTAAAGTGCTGGTTTTGACTGATAAAGCCTTGTGTGGTTCAGGATCCCAGTACGTCAAAGACAGCCTCTCCCCATATGAACCCAGACCCTGTGATCGCCATCTGAAGCCCTTCTTCATGTGCCCCCACTGGGAGAGGGGCAATTCGAGAATGGGCCTTCTCAGTGGTGGCTCCCTCCTAGCAGAAGGCTCTCTCCCGGAAGGCTCACCTGGCACCATTGTTACATATCTTTAGGCACCAGGCAAAAACATTTGTTTTCTGCCAGGCCTTTGGCTTTTAATCATCTGTGGCCTTCTTGAGTGGGTGGGGCTGTTTTAATCCTGCCTTTTAAAAATAAGAATGAGTTTTAGATTTTTCTGTTTTGTTCAACGCTGGTTTAAATGTACATGTTGTTATCATAAGTTACTTTTGAAAGGAAAAAGAAATCTAGTAAGTTTAAATCATCATCACCATCATCATTAGCAAACAAGAGGTTAATTGGTATAAAGACTTTAATATGTTTCCCCTCCTGTTCCTTCCTCTCCCACCCAGAATGGCTGGTTTGGATGGCAGCTTTCGACATATGTCACCAGACAGTCGCCGAGATGTCTACAACTTTGCCAAAGGCTACCTGATGACCAAGACGTCTCAAGGAGGTAGGTATCAAAACCAGAAGGTGTTTGCTATTTGGGTGGAATTGCTGTGCTTGCTTCCCAGCTGGCAGGGGGCGCTGTTGTTACTGGAAGCAAAGGTGGACCATTGGTCCAGTTCAGTATAATGCTGTTTCCTCTGCTCCTTCGCCACTCATAGCAGCTGTACCATGCCCCCAGTGCAAATGGAATATAGTGTGATAGCATATTGCAAGGAGTCACTTTTTCAGGAAAAGGGGTCCTGGATGCACGAAATGATTCTCCAAGAGTGATTTTTTCTTTTTTCCATTCCAGGAGATCCCTGTACTGAGAATACTCGGGGCAGCTTGGGTTGGTTAACAGCCAACTTTGGGTCCTTCAGCTCATTAGCCAGTTATAAAGACTTGGTTGCCATTAATGGAGATTTCCACCCGGTAAGTGACCTTGCTGGACCAGGGGCAGGGGGCAGAGGCTTATTCATGACTTAGCCAAAAGTATTGGGTGGGGGGTTGAATTCATTTCACATTGAAAGGCTAGCCTAGTTAATTTGCCCTTTTCCAAAACAATACAAGAACCAAAACGTAGCCGCCCTTTGAAATTTGAATCCTCCGAATGTTGCAGTGCTCTCTTCCAACCAACCAGTGGTTCCAAAAACACTCTTCCAACCAACCAGCGTTTACCAGAATTCATATTTAAGGGGGAATTGTGCATTAAAATGAATATATTAGAGAAAATAACAAACAAAAATAATTGTGTTAGGGGAAATTGCTTGGGAAACACGCACATTCATCAAAACTGTTGGATGAAATTTGTACTAAGAATTTTAATAAAATGCAGAAAACTGAATTGAAGATGGTAAAAATGAGGAACTGATGGAAACAAAATTGACAAAATTGTCCCTGCTCCGCTGACAGTCTCCTTTGCTAAGAACCAGCTTTGCTCATTCTTTAGATGGATGCAGTTGCGAGACTCACGCCATCTCAGCTGGCTGAGTACACACTGGCGAGTGACACCCTGCGCGACAGTGAGAAAGCTGGGAAGGTCTTTGGCTCTCTTGATTCACACAACATTGGAGAATTCATGGATGCTTTCAATGCGGCTGCCCAACAGGTTTGCAAGACTCCCCTCTTCCTCCCCTCTGCCTTGTTCAAAGTACAGCAGCAGGGCTCATTCAGTTTGTTACTTAATTCTACTTGTGTTAATGTCAACCAGCCAACAGAGAATGCTAGATGTATTACTAAGCAGCCAGGTAGAGTGGTATGATATTCAGTGAGACAGCATGTGATCTGATTGCCTGCGTAGTTCTGGGGGAGTTTCCCCCTCTTTATGTTTGGTTGAATGTCTCCCTGTCCTGTACAAGGCCTCAGCTGAAAGACAAACGCTCTCTGTTGTTTCTTTTCAAATTATACATAGTTCTGGTTCACTTTGCTCAGTAAAGTGTTATCATGACTTTTATCTCTGGACTCTGTCGGCATTAATCAAGTGACTTTGCTAACATATCTCCCTATTGAAGGTTGCTCCATTAGAGCGATGGGGTATTGCCCAACAGCCCTACTTCAACCTCCCCAACCTGGTGCCCTTCAGATGTTTCCGACTTCAGCTCCCATCAACCCCAGCCAGCACTGGAGGGCATCAGCTTGCCAATGGCAGCCATAGATCATGCCAGCTGGGGCTGATAGGACTTGCAGTCCCAAACTTCCGGAGAGTACCAGGTTGGGAAAAACAGGCTAAGCAGGTTGCTACTAAACAGAGGGCCTTCTCTGCGTTGGCACCTCAGCTCAAGAACTTCCTCCCCATGCCCATTTGCTTGGCGCTGCCTTTGGTAAGCCTATCTTGTTGAATTAACCTCTTACAGCAATGACTATTGGCCTGCCTTTAGCTTTTGTCTACTGATTTATTTGCAGATTTGTTTTGTGCTGTGCCATTTCATTTGTGGGCCTTTTCCTTAACTGTGTTTATTGCTGGTCATCTACCCCAAGGGTATCTAATATGGTCTCCTCCAGATATTTTGGACTACAGCTCCCATTGACTGACGATGGGGGCTGAGGTCCATAACATCTAGAGGGCACCTGGTAAATGATACACTTTGACATTAGGATGTTAGTTAGCTAGGCACACCTGTCCTCCTAACGCTGTACCTTCTGTGCTTTTTGCTTTCTTCTTAAAGCACCAGCTCACTCAGCTGCCCAACTTGGAGACCAAACGGTTCATCCTTGGCGAGATCTTCTGCCACCTGAGTGGCGTGCTGAAGCTCTTCACCGCAGAGGACTATGCTGCGTGGTTTGGGCAAAGGCTCCCTCTCTTCCTGAGCAGTCTTGATGCCCAGAACCTCGGCTTCCTGCCCAGTGACATGTCCTGTGATTCTCTGGCAGCCATGTAGGTACCAACTCTATGCCTATCCCAAGGTGGGGGTGATGGTGGAGGCATTTGGCGTGGCACAGCCAAGGGTGAGGAGAACAGTCACAGAAACTCAAAAACTGCATTGCTCCCAGTCAGGCAGTTGGGTCATCTAACTCAGTATTGTCTACACTGACTGGCAGCTGTTCCCCAGGGTTTCAGGTGGGAATCTCCCCTAGCCCTACCTGGAGATTGAACTTGGGACCTTCTGCATGCAAAGCAGATGTTCTGCCCATTATCCTAGGAAACTGCCTTAGACAGTCAGATCATTGGTTCATCTGGATCAGTATTGCCAACAAAGGCTGGCAGCAGCTCTCCAGTATTTCAGACAGAGAGTCTTTCCAAGCACTGCCTGCAGATGTCGCAGATTAAAATTGGGACCTTCTGCATGCAGAGCAGGTGCCCAGTCACTGGGCGATGGGCCTCCTCCCCAGTTGTCAGTGGAAGATGCTTTGCTGATCCAAAATGCCTCCTCCTAACTTCACCCCTCCCTTCTTTTGAATCTCCAAACTGAGTATTAGTATCTATGGGACTGCCTCTCCTGGTATGTCCCACAGAGGAACTTACGGTCTTCAAACAAAAACATCTTGAAGGTCCCAGGCCACAGAGAGGTTAGGCTGGCCTCAAGTAGAGCCAGGGCTTTTTCGGCTGTGGCTCCGATCTGGTGGAACACTCTGTCACAAGAGACCAGGGCCCTGCGGGACTTGACATCTTTCCGCAGGGCCTGCAAGACAGAGCTGTTCCACCAGGCCTTTGGCCAGGGCACAGCCTGACTCCCTCCTTTGGCAATCTTCACAGATCTCTAGCCCAATGGTTGCCATCAATTTGATTTGAATTAATTTTATAATGAAATGATTTTAGAATGTTGTATTATTTTATTGTTGTTAGCCGCCCTGAGCCTGGCTTCAGCTGGGGAGGGCGGGATATAAATAAAATTTATTATTATTATTATTATTATTACTTCGATTACAACCTCCTTCCTAATCTTGCAGAGTGGAGGGTTTAAATGATCACCATGCCAACAGCACATTTGAAAATCCAGATGATATATTCTCCTTCATAAAGAGGATTCTTGAATTCCAAGAACAAAATTCAGGTAAACAAAGGAAGCACCTCTCCCCCCCCCACCCGCCAATGGCACACTTTACCTTCTACCCACCCCTGATGAAGACCCTCTCCAGAATGTTGAACCTCAGAAATGTGCGTCTGCATTTCTAATCCTCTTTATGATTTTGCCACAGGTTCTGCCTGCACTCAGGGGGCCTCCACGGACCAAGAGTGGCTGAGCAAATTCTTTGGGCCCTTTTCTGCCTATGGCTCCTACTCAGATTTCACTGCATTGAAAAGCGACTTCCGTGGGGTGAGAGCGGCACAGACTTTGGAGTTTAACATTTGTGGTGTTCTTGACTCTGGGCTGGTTCGGGCATAACACTAATTCACGGGTCACCAATGTATTGCCCTTGCGGCCTTTCCTTGGTGCCCACAAAGCCTCTAAGGGCCCCTCCTGCATCATTGCTCCCCTTGGGCAGTTTAGCTTTAATAAGCTCACTCAAGGAAAAGTTTGGAAGCTTTCACTTCTTTTTTTAAAACCACAGTTTCCAGTGTCACCCAAACCTTGGTAAACTGTGGTTTAATCTGCACCTTACTGACTCAGTGATGACTGGAAGCTTGGGGTGTTTGAAGAGTTCTGGATTCTGAGCTTGAGCTTGAGCCTGGTTTCCATCCAACTCCAGCTCTGTTTTTCCAAATGCAGGTGGATTCCTTGGACCTCTTCTCCGCCAGTGCCTTGGCTCAGTTGTCCACTGAAGGCCACACCATTTACAGCAGCTCAGCCATGGGGCTCGTCTTCCAAGCCATCCAGAGAAAGAAGGAGCCAGAGCAATTCCTCAGCACATACCTGGATGAGTTCAACACCCTGGTGCTGAAGGTAAACAGAAGCTTGTTTACAGACTTTTCCTCCAGGGCTGGAGACAGACTGTGATTTTCTGTCGTGTAACTGGAGCACTGGTAGTCAACTCCAATGGGAATGCATGATCTGTGACCTTTGGGGTAGCTGGAAATTACTCCAGAGCAGTGGATTTCAAGCTATGTAGAACAACCTTCACCAGGATGGGGCCCTCCTGATGTTTGGGACTCGAGATCACCCTTTCCAATTTCCTACAAACTTTCAAAATTCATGTACAGTGGTACCTCAGGTTACATACGCTTCAGGGTACGTACGCTTCAGGTTACAGACTCCACTAACCCAGAAATGGTGCTTCAGGTTAAGAACTTTGCTTCAGGATGAGAACAGAAATTGTTCTCTAGCGGTGCGGCAACAGCAGGAGGCCCCTTTAGCTAAAGTGGTGCTTCAGGTTAAGAACAGTTTCAGGTTAAGTACGGACCTCCGGAACGACTTAAGTACTTAACCCGAGGTAGCACTGTAATTGTCAAGGGTTCTCATTACTAGCCCATTGTTCTCCATTGTGTGAAACGTTGTCAGCTGATTTCGTTGATCCTTTTGGGTGTAGTTGCAAAATCAGAAGTGCAAGGTCCCTTCATGATACCCACAGCCACACCTCCTTCTAAGATTGTACAACAATCTTATACTATTAAATAATTAGAGTTGCATTATAACAATCAATGCAGATCTCCATGTGTTGCCCTTCTATTTTCTGTGCGCTTACTTGGGCAAATGGTTTGGAGTGCTCCAATATCTTCATGTGGGGTGACTTAGATTGTGTTTTCCTTGAAGTTCCATTGTATGTAACAGAACTTAATCACCATTCTCTTGAAACTGGAGTGCCTAGTGTTGTCAGTGTTCCTAAATGCTCAGCTTTGGAGCATATGGAACAATTCATTGGTCTTCTTCCTGTGTGCCTTCTCCAGAGTGACCCTAGGAGCCAATCCTCTGTGGCTCACTCACCTCCTTTCATTCTGATTGGCTACAATCAGCACCAAGGGTGAGAAGATTTATTCTCAATGGCTTCAAAGCTCCCCTGCTTGGGTAGCTCTAGGATGCTGGAGACCCTGCAGCAGAAATAGTAACATGTCTTCAACACTTCTGCTTCCACCTAGAACCTGATCTTCACACTTATTCCTTGGTTTTTCTCTTGCTTCTTCCTCCAGAACCGCGGCTTGTTGAGCAATCCCAAAGTGCGGGACACTATGCTGATGCTATCGGCCGAGATCATTTTCCCACAGATTGCCACCAGTTCCCTGGAAGACACAAACACTTGGTTCCAGAAACTCAACCTGCTTCTCCCGGGTGTCAATGGAACAATTCTTGAGCTGCTACCCCTGGGTATGCCCTGCCCATATTACCAAACCATGTAAGTAGCTGGCATACATTTACCTCAGTAGTTTCTAGGTCCCTTCACATAGTTTGATAACAGACAGAGGTTACCTCTTGCACACATTGGTGGCTACCACACAATCTGCGCCTTGAGCATCCATCCTGATTTGTTGTGGGGACACCAGATTCTGCTGCTTCGAGCAAGTGTTATTCCAACACTTTCCAGTGCATTTTACTATAATTTGGGGAAGCGGGTTTATTGTGCAAGATCTTCCACTCAACTTCATTTGAGTAACCTTAATTTGAATACCAGTTGCTAGAAACCACAGGAGAGCAGAGTGCTCTTGTGGTCGGGTCCTGTTTGCAGGTTTCCCAAAGGGTGGCCGCTTTGAGAACAGGCTGCTGGACTAGATGGGCCACTGGCCTGATCCAACAGAGCTCTTCTTACGCTCTTATATTCTTAATCCCCACCCCCAAAATAACCACAGTCTGGAAGCAGCTACACCCAGCTGAGGACACAAAGGTTGGTTTCATCAAACCACCTAGTTCAGCACTCTGGGTTGCATCCAATGCTAGTCCTACTCAGAGGAGACCCATTGAAATTGATGGTCATTTGGAGAACTGTTAGACAAGCGATATAATGAAATTCAGTTAGAGGGGATTCGAAGAAGTCAGTTAACAATGTTATAAAAATCAGGTATTTGAAGAAGTAATTGTTTTTTGTGTTTAGTTTTTTTTGGTATTGAAATGTGTCTTTATTTGTTGTGTGTTTTGTGATGTCATTTTTGTTATAAATGTGGAAAATTAATAAAAAAATGAAGAAAAAAGAAAGAAAAGAAATTGATGGCCATGACTATCTGAAGTTCATTCATCTCATTGGGTCTGTTCTGAGTAAAACTTAGTGGAGCACAACCCTCTATTTCCAAAAAGACTCCAGAGCCAGTTGCAAGCAGGGTGAGAAAGCTATAGCCCTCCCAGATTATTGTTTGTTCTCTGCACCTTGTGCTCTGAGGTACGCTGCCTCTGAACATGGGTGCTCCATTTCATTTCCATGGTTGAAAGTCATGGATAAGGCCTATACTGGAGGAAGGGCAGGTTGGATGCTAGTAAATGAATATGGTGAATAGGTGGAAAAACAAGTGCGACTCAAGCCAATGTGTGGAATTGCTTGTGTTTCTTCCTCAGTGTGAAAGCGATGGATGGTCTCTACTCAACATTATCAGCCAGGAAGAGGCAAGATGTGTATGACTTCCAGAAGGCTTATTTAGCTTATCAGTTTGCTGATTCAGGTAAGGAGCCAAAGGGGCAGGTCTTAGGAATTTCACCCTGATACAGGAGTGGGGAATGGATTGAGCTGGCAGACCAAATCCTTATCTCCCCTGCCCCCTGTGGGCCAAGCTTGACAGGGGAGCATGGTGGTTCACCTGCTCATCATTTGATGCCACCGGTGACCCATTTTTGTCACCATAGCTTGAAGTTCAGTCATATGGGCCAAAGTGCTGTGCTGTGAAAGCCGCAACAACCAGCTGATTGGCAGGACTTGCCAAACCCTTTTGACAACCGGCTGATATGTGATGTCATGTGTCAGGCAGGTGATGGTGGGGTCTTGCCCAAAACAGTTTCACTGGCCAAATGGGAGGCCTGGTGGACCTAATTATTGAGCCTTCCCCCAACCTCAACCACTAGTTCAGTTGCTGAGTGTTTATGAACAGTTTATCTGCTCAGAAGTTTATCTCTTCGGTGCTTGGGGCAAACTGTTCTGTTGATTGGAAGAAGGACAGGGAAGGAGGAGGAGGGTGTAATAGACTTCCAACATCATTTCTGCACAAATTCATCCTTTGTAAGGAACCCAGCTGTGGATTTTAGTCCATCTTCGCTTGACACATTCTCTTGCCTCTACAGGGTTAGCGTGTGATGGTGGGACTACAGGAATCCGAGACTGGCTGACAAAGAATTTGGGGGAGTTTTGTGCAGTGGCTAAGCTGAGCGAACTTCAAGCTTTTTACCCAGAACTTGATGGAGTAAGTTTTTCTCGGCACTGTGCTCCAGAGGGGGCTGCCCCATCTCTTTCCTCTGCAGGGAACAGTAGCAGCCCTGTGCAACGATGAAAGTATCTTCATCCAGCCTAAAATTGACAAAAGGGAGCTGATATATCTTTAAGGGAAATTATTGATGTTCTCTGCACTCTTTTTATATTCCACTCTTTCTTCTCTTCTTGAGTTTTCAAACTACTGCTTGCTTTAGAAAGTAAATACTTCAGAAATCAACCTGATTGGCATCCAAATTGTCTTTCTAAGGCCGGTATTTCGTTTAATCAGTAGCAATCTGGGGAGCAAATTTCTCCCGTAATGGTTCAGTTTTCGATGCTTGAGTATCATCATTAAGCTGAGAAGCAGCAAAATGAAGCTGTGCGTTTTCTTCTAAAGCAAACACAGATTTTTAACAAGGCGGTGTAATGTTTTCAAGAACAGTATGGACATGGAAAATCACCCATGAATTCTGTCAAAATTTATACAAGAAGGGTTTTTTCTGGGTGGGTATCTTCCTTACATATTTTAAAAAGAACACTGTATTTAACCATGTAACAACGGTTCTAAATCGAACATGATTTTTCTGTGTTTTGGAAATGGTTGCTGATATCCAGAGCATCGTCTCTCTATCCGCTCTTTATTCTGTGGTTGTGCTGATCTGGTCAATTAATAAAATAATAATAATGTTGAAAACAGCTGAATTGGTATGTTTCATGGTGGTGTTTTCTTTAAGAACGGACACGCACACACACACATTAATAATGTGGTCCTTTTAACCCCACAACCATGCCCCTGAAAGGTGGCATCAGACATAGGATGGAGTAGAAATTCAGTCCAATTCACATTTCACTTGCAGTTTCTGCAACAATATATTAACAGAAACCCAGTGGTATCCTTTGAACTTTGCACCGCTCCAGATTTTGCAATGCAGTGCTCCACCCAAGCAATATATACGAAACATGGGGCAACACAGGCCTAAAAATGAATATAGGAGTAAAGGATAGCATGCAAAAACGCATTAAGCTAGGGGGAACTGCTTTGCACAAATGTGCCCATCAAGGAAAACTGCATAAAAAATGTGTATGTTAGGAGAAATATACACTAAAATGTTTCTGAATTTTAATGAGGGCTTAACCAAAATTAAAACAAACAAACAAACAAACAACAAACAAACAAACACAAAATGATTGGAAAAATGAGAAACGGGGAAGAACTGGAACTGATTAGGCCAGCCCTACATGGGATACTGAGCATTTCGACCAACTGATTGCTACTGATTGAACTAAACTTAAAAGCATCTTTTGCCAACCTGTGGCCCTCCAGACTCTTTTGGACTACAACTCCCATCAGCCACAGTCCTGCGGGGGGCAGGGGGGAGTGGGGTGGGCAGTATCTACAGCAGGAATGACTAAATGGATTTATTCTCCATAAATAGGTATATAACAGTGAAGTATCTTTATTGGTTGCATTCAATTAAATTTTACACAGATTAGACCCATTGGAAATAATGGATTCAGGCTCATCATCTCCATTACTTTCAATGGGTCTATTCTGACAGTAGATGCAGCCCTATGTCTCTTAGGCTGCAACCTGGGAGTATGCTCCACTTAGCTCAGTGGGGTTTATTTCTGAGTAGACCTGCACAGAATTTGCTCTGTTAACAATATTAGGCTGCAATCCAAACATGGAGGTGTGGTGAAGTTCATTTATAGCTGTGCTAGTTGTGACCATTAGCACCTAGGGAAGCCACGCCTAATTGCAGACCTGGAGCAGTGGCCAAGGCTGGATGTGCAGACAGAATAGTGACCTGTTCTGGTCACATCCACACCACGCTTTTAAAGTACTCTTACGCCACTTTAACAGTCATGGCTTCCTGCAAAGAATCCTGGGAACTATAGTTTTCCCAAGGTGCTAAGAATTGTATATCTATGAGGTACAACTCTCAAATCCAATCACAGCTCAGTTGGAGGAAAAGTGTAGGCAAGCTTTTGCTGCTTTCTTAGTCTCAATTGCCCAACTGTAAAATGGGACCAAGGCAGGAACATCCTCACAGGGTTAAGGGCAAAAGGAAGCAAGGGTCTTTATACAAAAACAACAGAGGTCCAGGCTAATAATAATAAAATAATAATAATAATAATAATAATAATAATAATAATAATAATAATAATGCAGTGGTGCCCCGCAAGACAAATGCCTCGCAAGACGGACAACCCGCTAGACGAAAGGGTTTTCCGTTTTGGAGGTGCTTTGCAAAACGAATTTCCTATGGGCTTGCTTCGCAAGACGAAAATGTCTTGCGAGTTCCTGCAGGGTTTTTTCCCTCCCTCCCTTTTCCCCAAGCCGCTAAGCCGCTTATCAGCTGATCCGCTAAGCCACTAAGCCGCTTAACAGCTGATTGCTAAGCCGCTTATCAGCTGATCCGCTAAGCCGCTTAACAGCTGATCCGCTAAGTCGCTTATCAGCTGATCCGCTAAGCCCGCTAAGCCGCTAATAGTGCTAATCCGCTAATGGGCTTGCTTCGCAAGACAAAAAAACCGCAAGACGAAGAGACTTGCGGAACGGATTCTTTTTGTCTTGCGAGGCACCACTGTAATTTATTTTTACCCTGCCCATCTGGCTGAGTTTCCCCAGCCACTCTGGGTGGCTCCCAACAGAATTAAAAGCACAATAAAAAACCAAACATTTAAAACATCCCTAAACGGGGCTGCCTTCAGATGTCTTCTAAAAGTCAGATAGTTGTTTATTTCTTTGACATCTGATGGGAGGGCGTTGCACAGGGCGGGTGCCACTACCAAGAAGGCCCTCTGCCTGGTTCCCTGTAGCCTCCCTTCTTGCATGGAGGGAACTGCCAGAAGGCCCTCAGAGCTGGATGACGGGGGTGGAGATGCTCCTTCTGGTATACTGGGCCAAGGCTGTTTAGGGCTTTGAAGGTCAGCACCAACACTTTGAATTATGCTTGGAAACGTACTGACCTATCCGAAACAATGCTTTGAAGCTGACACCAGACTCTGGTAGCATGACCTTGAGTGAATTTTTAAACTGTCTATAAAGGCTCTCACTGATGGGATACCAAAAATGGTTAGGGTGCTTGAAGATTTTCCTTGACATCTGATCATTTAGTCCAAGACCCCCTGATTATTAGAAAGTGGGGTGTTTTTTACAGAACAGAGCCACTAGCTAACAATCTGAACTTTTGTACACACTCAAGGGCAGCCTGATTACTGGGAAAAGGTCTAGTGTGTGCGGGTGACAGGAGTGAGCCAGCAATAAATTACACCGAGCAAGTTGGAGTAACTCTTTATTGGCAAAAACAGCATCTGCACAGGATTGTCAGGCCTAATGAGCACAGCAGTTCATCTCCAGTAGGTCTTGCTCCCATGAAGCAGTCACTGAGTCTGAAGGTCCCCATCTCCCCACAGCTGCTTAAGTCCCTTCCTCTCCAGGGTTTTCCCCAAGCAATTGGAGATTGCACCTGCATGAAGCTAACTTCTCATTGTCCTTTTAATGCTTCTTCTTGTTCTGGGAGACCAAGGGGCAAGGGAGCTTGTTGCAGCAGGAGGGGGAGACATACATGCCAGACTCTTCTCTGCCTCTTGGCCTCCCTCCTCTCCAGCCTCCACTTCTGCCTCCAGTTCTGGACTCCTCTGCCACAGACTTACTAAGCCCTGTTACCTCTTCAGCTTTCAACACCTCCTCCTTCCAGTTTTCTTCTTCTTCTCCCTGTGTCCACTTATTGTCGTCTCACCAGCTATCCCTGTGTTCTGAGCCTCAGCTGGTTCCTCCCACCATTCCTCTGTGTCCAAACAGTCCATGACATCAGGCAGTAGGGAGAGGAGCACACCTCAGTTGCAGAGCACCTGCTTTGCATGCCAAAGGGCCCAGGTTGGAGCACCAGCATCTCCAGGTAGGGCTGAGAAAGAGTCCTATTTAAAATCCTGAGAGCCTCTGCCAGTCATTGTTGATTGTACTGAGCCAGATGGACCATTGCCCTGAGTTAATATAAGGCAGCTTTGTATGTAACCTGGAATTTGATACAGACACACACCCTCATTACTTATATAATAATTATCTTAAATGGCCCATACCCATCTCCCATGCCTGGTGTGTTCCAGGGCACTATCATCACTGGGAATAATGGAAGCCTTCAGGTAAGACAAAGCAAAGCCTGGCACAAAACTTGATAAATGGCATTTGACCGGGTGAATAGACACAAGTGAAAACGGATTGCATAGGACAGTGTTTCCCAACCTTTTTTGGGCAAAGGCACACTTGTTTCATGAAAAAAATCTCGAGGCACACCACCATTAGAAAATGTTAAAAAATTTAACTCTGTGCCTATATTGACTACCATATTTTTCGCCCCATAGGACGCACCGCCCCATAAGACGCACCTAATTTTTTGGGGGGAGAATAAAGAAAAAAAAAATTTCCCCTCCCCAGGCACGGGGCAGGCGCGGGGGAAGCCCAAGCTTCCCCCGACCCCAGCCCCCAGAACAGCCTGATATCCGCGAGCCTAGGGAGCCACACTGGTCTCCCCAGGCTTGCGGAGAGGTGCGTGAAGCCCGGGGGCGCTCTTCAGCGCGCACCAGGCTTCGGGATGCAGGCAGCTCTGCGCTACCCTCCAGAGCCCCGTGCGGCTTCGCGCTGGGATCCGGGGGGTGGCGCGGAGCTGCAAGAAGCCCTGGAGCGCAGGCAGCTTCGCACCACCCTCCGGAGCCCCGCGCGGCTTCGCGCCAGGATCCAGAGGGTGGTGCAGAGCTGCAGGAAGCCCTGGAGCCCAGGTAGCTCCGCGCCACCCTCCGGAGCCCCGCGCGGCTTCGCGCCAGGATCCGGGGGGTGGCGCGGAGCTGCAAGAAGCCCTGGAGCGCAGGCAGCTCCGCACCACCCTCCGCAGCCCCGCGCGGCTTCGCGCCGGGATCCGGGGGGTGGCGCGGAGCTGCAAGAAGCCCTGGAGCGCAGGCAGCTCCGTGCCACCCTCCGCAGCCCCGCGCGGCTTCGCACCGGGATCCGGGGGTGGCGCGGAGCTGCAAGAAGCCCTGGAGCGCGGGCAGCTCCGCGCCACCCTCCGCAGCCTCCTACGGAGGGCGCCCCGTGCTCCGCGCTGCTGGCTGCCGCCCGCAAGCCGTGCACGCGGGGGGAGTTCCCCTGGGCGCGCAAGGCTTGCGGACAGCTGCGCGAAGCACGGGGCGTCCTCCAAAGGGCGCCCCGCGCTCCGCGCTGCAGGCTGCCGCCCGCAAGCCTTGCGCGCCGGGGGGGGAGTTCCCCCAGGCGCCCAAGGCTTGCGGACAGCTGCGCGAAGCACGGGGCGTCCTCCAAAGGGCGCCCCGCGCTGCAGGCTGCCGCCCGCAAGCCTTGCGCGCCGGGGGGGGAGTTCCCCCAGGCGCCCAAGGCTTGCGGACAGCTGCGCGAAGCACGGGGCGTCCTCCAAAGGGCGCCCCGCGCTCCGCGCTGCAGGCTGCCGCCCGCAATGTTTGGATTTGCATCCAGCAGGAGATGCCGCCGCCGCCCCGCCTCTCCCGCCTCCCTCCCACGGCACACCAGGCAAGGTCTCACGGCACACTGGTGTGCCGCGGAACACCGGTTGGGAAACACTGGCATAGGAAATGATGCAGACTAGGGGTGCACATCCACTTTGGATGAAGTCCAGATGAAGTATCAGAGGTAGCCAGACCTCCTCTGGAAATGAAATGGGT